AGGGGTGCTGTGGCAGGAGGCAGGGGGACCCGTGGGAAGCTCTTACAGGGTGTTGGTGGGAAATGGTGATGGGCAGGGGCAGTATTTACCAACCATTTCTTTCATTATGACCCTGTAAGGAGCCATTTTAGACATGTTTTCCTATCCATCCTCCTGTGACTTTTTTTCTAAACAGAGGTGAAATTCACATGACCTAAAATTAACCATTTTAAAGCGCACAGCTCAGTGGCATTTCGTGCATTCACAGTATTGTGCAACCACCACTTTTCTGTAGTTCCAAAACATTTCCTTCACTCCCAAGTAAAATGATGTTAATTAAGCAGGCACTCCCCCCACTCTCCGCTTGCTTGCCCCTGGAGACCACCGGTCTGCATTCTGTTTGTATGGATTTGCCTATTCTGGATACTTCATTTAAGTGAAGTCATACAACCTGTGGCCTTTGTGTCTGGCTCCTTTCACTGAGTGTATGTTTCCAGGGGCCTCCCCATTGCAGCATGCATCTGAACCTCATTTCTTTTCATGGCTCAGTAACATGCTACTGTGGACACCCCAATTTGTCAGTACATCGGTGGACATTCGGATTGTTTCCACCTTTGAAATGTTGTGAATAGTGCTGCTACGAACATTTGTATACCAGGATTTGAGTACTGCTTTCTGTTTGGGGGTATATACCTAGGAGTGGATCCTTGTGAAATTTGATAATACTGTAGGTCTGTTTATGTACTGCCTGTGTCTGTTTTCTTTTTTTTTTTTTTTTAAAGATTTTATTTATTTATTTGACAGAGACACAGCGAGAGAGAGAGGGAACACAAGCAGGGGGAGTGGGAGAGGGAGAAGCAGACTCCCCGCGGAGCAGGGAGCCCGATGCGGGGCTCGATCCCAGGCCCCTGGGATCATGACCTGAGCCGAAGGCAGACGTTTAACAACTGAGCCACCCAGGTGCCCCATGTGTCTGTTTTATACATAAAAAGAGTAAGAGTGTTTCACCCCCCAAGAGCCACTTTCTGCCCATTGAGACTGTGTGCATTAGGTTGATAGCAGTGGACGTGGAGACCAGCTGGGAGTGGGGGTTGTATTTTGGAAGTGGTATGAGGAGGCCTTGCTGAAGAGTGGGGTAAGTTGAGTCAGGAGAGCAAGGGAGTAACTGAGGCAGTGTAGACATGTTTGGCCTTGAACATCTAGATGAGTGGTTGTAGCATTAACTCACATGGGGAGGTTGAGGCAGGTACACGGTGTTTCACAAATTGGGGAGGTGGGCGTATGGTACTCGGGTGGGTAGGGGCCATCTCTTCCCCCCGAGGTGGGTGACCCCAGTGCTGTCCCTTTCCCAATTACATGAGGCATTTTCATTCCAGATGTCTGTGAGGGGGGCTCTGCTGGCTGGGGAGAGAGTGAACCAGACCCATCTCTACTGGCTCACCCTTATTTTCGCCATGTCCAAGTGCTGTGTTTAATTAAAAAAAAAGTTAGGACATATTTCTTAAACCTTCAATACTTAAGTTTTATTAACAAAGGAAACTTTGTTATGTTTTAACTACAGAATTTCAAAAATAACAACTTTGCCTCTGTGCTTGCTGAATTCCCCTGCCGGACCACAAGTGGGGCAGGGCTCTGTTAGACCACCTGCTGGCTTCTCTTTCCTTACTTCCCGCCCCCCCCATTTCATTTAATTAATTTATTTATTTTTTAAAGATTTTATTTATTCATGAGAGACAGAGAGAGAGAGAGAGAGGCAGAGGGAGAAGCAGGTTCCCAAGGAGCAGAGAGGCCGATGCGGGACTTGATCCCAGGACCCTGGGATCACGACCTGAGCCGAAGGCAGACACTTAACCATCCGAGCCACCCAGGCGCCCTGATTTGATTTTTTTAAAGTAATCTCTACATCCAGCATGGGGCTCGAACTCGTAACTCCAAGGTCAAGAGTTGGATGCTCTTCCGACCGAGCCAGCCAGGCGCCCCCGCCTTCCTTACTTTGTTCACGGGAGCTGTTATTATTAAGTCGGGAACTATAGACTCTTCGTGGTTGAGTTCTGTGTGCAATCGCACGTTTGCATGTGTTGTTATGGTTCACCCTTTCTGGTTAGGCTTTTTTGTTAAAGTGCCTTGCAGTTGCACGCAGTGCTTTGGCTAGTAGAGGACCCTTCCTGCTCTACGTGGTTGCTGGTTTGTGTAGGAGAATACAGTGTGAGAGGCCCTGGTCTTTCATCCTCCCAGAGAGGTTTCAGCCACTTCAAATCTCTTTTGGAAGGAAGTAGGTAGAATACAAGTGAATGAGTAATAAAGAAAATCCCAAGACTAAAGATTTTTTTTTTTAAAGATTTTATTTATTTATATGACAGAGAGAGACAGCGAGAGCAGGAATACAAGCAGGGGGAGTGGGAGAGGGAGAAGCAGGCTTCCCGCTGAGCAGAGAGCCCGATGCGGGGCTCGATCCCAGGACCCTGGGATCATGACCTGAGCCGAAGGCAGACGCTTAACGACTGAGCCACCCAGGTGCCCAAGACTAAAGATTTTTTTAATGATTTTTTTTTAAAGGTTTTATTTATTTATTTGAGAGAGAGAGAATGAGCGAGAGCACATGAGAGGGGGGAGGGTCAGAGGGAGAAGCAGACTCCCCGCCGAGCAGGGAGCCCGATGTGGGACTCGATCCAGGGACTCCAGGATCATGACGTGAGCCGAAGGCAGTCGCTTAACCAACTGAGCCACCCAGGCGCCCAAGACTAAAGATTTTATTGCTCATATACTTATGTCTTTTGCAGTGCCTTTACCTTTGATACCTTTGATGCTCTCTCTCTCTTTTTTTTTTTTTGGTGGGCCAGGTACTTTAGTTCTACTAGTTCTACTTGTTCTTATGGGACCAGGGGTTATAGTAACAGCGCTCGTAACAGCGACTGCCGCTCTTATTGGACAGAATATTGTGTACCAGGTGTTGGGCCAGGCATTTGTCCATCCTTACAGCAAAATGAAGTTAATTTACTATTTAAAAAAAACTTAATTCTCAAAATAATTTCAAGTGTTGGCTGAGCCTTTGCTAAGGACCACTTGACATGGATTAGCGCATCTCATCTCCACCTGCCCTCCTCATTTGCAAGATGAGGTAAAGGATGCCCAGAGACAAGCACACTTCATCCCTTTTTGGATTTATGAACCTCAGCTCTACTGACCTTTGAGACCAAAGATAATTATTTGTTTTGGGGGGGCTGTGCTTTATAGGTTGTTGAGCAGCATCCCTGGTCTTCACCTATTAGACGCCAGTGGCACCCTCCCCTCCCCCAGTGGTGACAGCCAAAAATGTCTGCAGACATTACCCAGTGTGTCCTGGATGGCCAAATCACTCCTGGCCAAAAACTACTGGTTTAGATGATTGAAACCAAAGCCCTCGAGGTTAGTGGGGAAATAGAAAATACTACTACACTGATAGCAAATAATAATATAGTACTTAACTGATGCCAGGCACTGTTTAGATGCTTATTTGATCATTACAACTTGATGAGGTAGGTACTTTTAATCAGTCCCTTTGTATTATGTTATCAACGTCCCTCTTTGAGGCTAGCAGGAAAGGAGATTCACAGACCTCAGGTAGCTTGCCCAAGGACATCTAGCAAGTCAGCTGCAGAGCTGGACTTTAAACCCAGTGTCTGGCTCCCGATACATGCTTGCAGCCCCTCCTTGTCTGTGCCTGGTCTTTACCCCTCTGTTACATTAAAGCTAGAGTTGGCAGGTCCTGGAACTAGAGCTGAGCAGGTATATGAATTTCACCCATTGGATCCTCACTTTGAGTATCCTCCCATTTGGCAGGTGAGCAAACTGAGGCAAGCATCCACCAAAGTGTCTGAGCACTTTTGAAGTCCCCAGGATGTTCCGATTTGTAACCCCTTTGCCATCAACAGCTTCTCTTAAGGACCAGATCATTGCAAAGTCCATGTTTCTTATGCGTCTGAGGAAGGCTGGGCATTTTGTTGTCTGGCATGAATTTAGTAACAGCACAGTCCCAGTAATGGCAGGCTATTTATTATTATTTTTTAAGATTTTATTTATTTGACAGCGAGAGGCACAGCGAGAGAGGGAACACAAGCAGGGGGAGTGGGAGAGGGAGAAGCAGGCTTCCCGCGGAGCAGGGAGCCCGATGCGGGGCTCGATGATCATGACCTGAGCCGAAGGCAGATGCTTAACGACTGAGCCACCCAGGCGCCCCAATGGCAGGCTATTTAGGCAAAGGGGCAGGATCTCCAGGAGGCATGGCCCATCTGAACCACTCCCATTTTGTCACATGGTGTGGTTTCTGTCCTACCCCCAGCTCAGTGGATGAGGTTCAGGGGAGCAGTATATAGGTAGTTGTAAGGTATTTTTAAAAGACTTGGGCTTAGGTACGATTCTCTATTCTCCTATAAAAGTTTGGAACATAGTAAGGAGGGAGATAATTGACCAGTGACGCCCTCACTCCATCTGGTGCTGAATTTGGCTTCATTCAGCCTCACAGAACCTTTGAAACGGGAAGCTGGAGATCTCCCAAGGGGTCGACTCGGCCTCTGGCAGGTGCAGTGCCTGTGCAGGCCGGCTCCTGCATCTCCCACAAATGGACGGCATGCCATTTGTAAGCCTGGCTCCGGTCTCTGCATCTGGACTGTGGTAGGGGCTGGTTTAATCTCTATTTATTTTGAGATTTACACCCGTGAATGGGCCAAACCAATTTCAGTGGCAGCTTAGCCAATTTGTCTTAGAGCTTTATGTTTAATATATGTGCTGCCGAAGCGAGCACTAGAGCTTTGTGTTTAATAGAATGACTGGGGAGGCCTTCTTCCTTCGAAGCTTTAACGGTTTAACATTTTGGGTAAATCCTGTGCTTGACATAAATGGCCAGCCCTTCCCGCTGCTCCCCATCTGTGGCGCTCTGGGGGCCTTGTTGAAATCAAATACACTTTCTCTCCTCTCCCCCTAAAACGTTTTATTTATTTATTTATTTGTAAATTCATTTTTTAACAATGAACATACTTTTTCAGCTTCACCAGCCTCTGCAAAGACGGGACAAGCAGGGAGTTTATCCGGCAGCCCGAAAACTTTCTCTCCTCAAGCGTCAACACCCATCACGACGAAAACAGACAAAACGTCCACCACTGGAAGCATCCTGAATCTTAACTTGGGTCAGTGGGAATTTTTGGAAGTCTCTTTCTGCGGCAACTATGAATATTCTTGCAAGTTGTGATGTCCTCTTTTGTGTGTGGTTCTTGAGCTCTGAACTCTTCTCTCTTTGCAAAATATTTAAAAGGTACACTGGACAAAGATGAAGAGAGATTGGTAAGAGGAGCAAGTAAGGGATTTCCTGGGGCTTGTTGACATGCAAAGTTGTTTCATCTTGAAGTACCTTAGGCTGGTGTTTACAACCATTTCTTGCCCTTGACCCCAGTAACCTGGTTGTTATATATGTGTATTATAGGTTTTTTGTTTGTTTGTTTGTTTTTTAAAGATTATTTGAGAGAGAGAGCACATGAGCTCGGGGAGGGGCAGAGGGAGAGAGAGAGAATCTCAAGCAGACTCCCCACAGAGCGTGGAGGCTGTCAAGGGGCTTGATCTTATGACCCCAAGACCATGACCTGAGCTGAAATCAAGAGTCGGCCGCTTAACTGAGTCACTCAGGCATCCTATGTGTGTATATATGTTTAATGTTTTATATGCACACACACGTGATGTACGTAAAGTTTTATGAATCAGTATTTACTTTATGTGCAGTATATATATATATATATTTTTAAAGATTTTATTTATTTATTTGACAGAGAGAGACACAGCGAGAGAGGGAACACAAGCAGGGGGAGTGGGAGAGGGAGAAGCAGGCTTCCCGCGGAGCAGGGAGCCCGATGCGGGGCTCTATCCCAGGACCCTGGGATCATGACCTGAGCCGAAGGCAGATGCTTAACTGACTGAAACACCCAGGCGCCCCTCATTTGTTTTTTTTTTTTAAAAGCACTACCTTAGGCAAAAGTCTTCAGAAAAATTATCACAGGAAATGGGAAATATCCATTTGTGAAGTTATTTTATTGATTCATTCCATCATGATCCTTGATTTTTATTGAGCATCTATTACATGCTGTGTGCTCTTTCAGGCATGGGGCAGGGAGTGGTGAGCAAGGGCCCTGCTCTTATGCAGAGCTTGGTTCTAGAAAGTGAGAAACAAATAAGGTAAATAAACAAGACAGTTCACCCCGTGAGAGAAGGTAAAGTGTGCTAATATGATAAGGAGAGAGATACGCAGGATGGGGGTGGTTTGGAAGAGGCTGTGTTTAGGGAAGGCCTCTGTGAGGTAGTATTTAAACCTAGATTTGCCTGACAAGAAAAACCAGCCATCCCTGTATTGGGAGGAAAACGTTGTAGGAGGAACTAGAGATTTACAGGCCTTGGGGTAAGGGATGAACTCCCTGTGCTGTAGGAATGACAGGGAGGCCCAGGTGGCCTGTCCCAGTGGCTGAAGGGGAGAAGTTGAGGAGCTGAGGTCCATCAGCCCTGGGACCCGGTGTGGACCCTGGGGCGGACCGTGGGGTGCAGCTTTTGGAGCAATGGAGGGATGTGAACTGAGCATTTTAGAAGGACCACGCTGAGTGCCGTGTTGAAAATAGCCTGTCAGCTGTTCTTCCCCAGGGACAGTTCCCTCATTCCCCTCCAGGGGACACTTGGCAATGTCTGGAGACATTTTTGGTTGTCACAGCTGGGAAGGGAGGTTCGAGAATCCAGGGTTTTAGGAAGGGAGGGAGGGGCAGCTCCCTGTGTGGAGTGATGCTCATGTGTGAATTCACAGCCTCTGGAGGCCAGTACTCTCCAGGTTGATCTTGTCCTGCAGTGCCCTTTCAGATGGAGAGATGGAGGTCTGGAGGGGAGGCTGCAGGTGCCCAGGATCGCGGAGCCAGTAGGCCACAGGGCTGGAGGAAGCCCTTGTCTCCACGGAGCCCAGAGCCTGGCTCGTTCTGGCTCCCCCCTTAGTGCAGCTTGGATGTGGTCCAGCAGGCAGAGTGGTAACTTTTGGGGCCCCAGCTCAGATTGGCTGGTGCGAATTCTCACTTGCACAAAAGGGGACCCATTTGCTCCCTTGGGGAACGTTCATTGATCTCAGCAGTGTGGTTTGCTTTCTCACACCCTCCCTCCACCTCCACACCCCAAAAAGGAACATTGTGCAGAGGCAGTTCTCATGGTCATGTTTCCTCTCTGCCAGTCATGTGTGGTAAGAATAGCTCCTTCCCTAAGCCAGGCGGTCTTGGACATCCTTGTGATGGCTGGGGGGTCTTTTGGTTTGGCTTACCTGTGGTGGCAGTGAAGGATTTCTTCCTGTTGTGTGGGACCTGAGGCTCTCCTGTGCAGAAGCGTCCCCCTCTCCAGCTTCTTCCGTTCTAGGACACACGCCTTGTCAGTAGGAATGAAAGCATTGGGTTGGCATTTCAGTTACCTAACGGGAAGAGGATCAGAGAGGGACCAGTGAAAAGTGTCATGGCTGGGTAGAAGGATCAGACAGTGGAGGGAAGTTCTAAATAATCCTCAAGAGCTTATCTGGGGATGGGGCAGGTGCTTTATATGGGACTTCTTTTTTTTGTTTTTTCTTTTTAAGTAGTCTCCACACCCAGCATGGAGCCCAGTGGAGGGCTTGAACTCATGACCCTGAGATCAAGACCTGAGCTGAGATCAAGAGTCGGACACTTAACCGACTGAGCCACCCAGGCGCCCCATGGGGCTTTTTTTTATGTCTGGCATCCATGTAACTACTTTGAGCAGACAGAAATGAGACTGCGCTGGGGATGCTGACAACATTATTATATATAACAAAATGGTATTTCGTTAAAAAAAAAAAAAACAACAACTGGAAAAGACAAAATTAGATGGAAACCGGGAGTGATTGTTGGGGGGGGTTGGGGGGGGAGGGTTTGACTATAAACTACAAAGGGATTCTTTGGCCTTTGACATTGTTCTGCATTCTGTATGTGGTGGTGGTTACACATTTCTATAAGCAGGTGTTAAAACTCCTACAACTGTATTTCCCCCCAGATTTTACTCTCTGTAAATTAAAACTATTAAAAAAATACAACAACCTTCAAGGTGTAGATAACAGCCCCATTTCAGTGAGGTAGAAGAAACTGGGGCAGGGGTGCCAGGGTGGCTCAGTCCTTAAGCATCTGCCTTCAGCTCAGGTCATGGTCCCAGGGTCCTGGGATCGAGCCCCGCATCAGGCTCCCTGCTCCGCGGGAAGCCTGCTTCTCCCTCTCCCACTCCCCCCGCTTGTGTTCCCTCTCTCGCTGTGTCTCTCTCTGTCAAATAACTAAAACCTTAAAAAAAAAAGAAACTGGGGCACAGGGAAGCAGTTACCTGCCCAGCCAGGATCACCTGGGGTCTGCGGTCATGTTTGGCCTGTGGACTCAGGCCTGTCTGCCTTGTAGTTTATACTCTTAACCACGATATGTGAGCCGGCACGCTGCAAGATGGGGCCGTGTTTGGATGCTGGTGGGCTCTGGACACTGCCTCTCATGCCCTTGTCTAAGTCGGCCTAGCTGTAGGGGTCAGGGGGTAAGGTGACGATTTTGAACAGGTGGTCCCATGGAGGACAGATTGCTTTTCTGAAGGATGAAGCTCCCCCAAGTTGAACCTGTGTTGTCAGACTCTGAACACAGAAATGCAGATTTTTATATGAACTCTCCTTGTTTTTAAAAGTCGGCAATCAGTTGCATTAAAAATGAAAACTCTTTTAGGCGAAACAAATAAATCCAACCCAAAATACAAAAACCCAGCCCAGTGGGTCATTTGTTGGATTTGTGATTCTTAGAATTAATTTTGGTGCATGACAAGGGGGAAGGCTTTCACAGAAACTGTTTCCTCCCTGCTTGCTAATGTACAGGCCCCTCATTTGCTGTCTCAGGCCTCCTGTCTGCTCTAAAACAAGGAGCCGAAGCCTGGTGGATGGTTACAGCCCCTTTCTGTGACTGTATGGAAAATAAGTCATGAATAAGAACGAGAGAAGGAAGGCCTGATTCTTCTAGACTCCCGTTTGCTTCTCTGGGAATCTCGTCTCCTCTTAACACACAGGGTGTTTGCTTTGGGCTGAACAAACACAGCAGTTCAGTGATCCTGTTGGTGACACAAATGTGTCTGGATGCTCAGTCAGAGATGCTGACAGCAATGTGAAGTTGTCAGACCCAGAGTGTTGCTGCATGTTTATTCCTTAGCTGTCACTGATGGGAGGTCTCCTTTCTTTCTCTAGATAAAGTGATACCTTGAAGTCAGGCGTCCTTTGAGAGCCTGGATGCAACACTGGGGGCCCAGGCTTCCCACAGGTTGCCTTGATTTTTTTTCCCCCCAGTGGGTGAAGTGAGGAAGATCTCTGCTTGGCTTTGATTGATAAGAGATATTTGCCAGGGTCTCTGGTCTGGATGATATTGTTCCCTTGAAGGAGCCACCATTTTGTAGCTCCTGGAAGTCCATCCATTATAGTCACCCAGCAGCTTTTGAACAAAGGAAATCTATTTCTTTTGTTTTTTTTTTCCCCTTGAGAGAGGGAGCTCGTGAGAGGGGGTAGTTTGGGGGGTGTGCAGAGGGAAAGGGAGAAGGAGAATCCCAAGCAGCCCAGAGCCTGATGCGGGGCTCGATATCATGACCCTGAGATCATGACCTGAGCCAAAATCAGGAGTGGGACAATTAACCGACTGAGCCACCCAGGCACTCCAAGAAATCTATTTTTTTTTTAATTGAAGACGTGCTTATATTTTCTTGAAAAAGTTTATTTTAACGAGTCATGAAGGCACACGGTAAGAGAAATTTCAAAGGACAGAAAAATGTTTAATGAAAAGCCAGCCTGTCCATAATCTCTGATCACCTGCCCCTCCCAACAAGTGACCATGGTTACCTCTTTTTAGTTTCTTGGAGAGCTCTTCTATATATACACCAGGAGTTTTCAACCTGGGTGATTTTTGTTTGGCAGTCTCTGGAGATGTTGTTATTATTATTACTTTTAAAGATTTTATTTATTTGACAGTGAGAGCGAGAGAGGGAACACAAGCAGGGGGAGTGGGAGAGGGAGAAGCAGGCCTCCCCGCTGAGCAGGGAGCCCGATGCGGGGCTCAATCCCAGGACCCTGGACCCTCAGATGCTTAACAACTGAGCCACCCAGGCGCCCCTGGAGATGTTATTTTTAAGTAATCTCCACACCCAGTGTGGGGTGTGGAGATCAAGAGCGGCACGCTCCACCGACAGAGCCAGCCGGGCACGCCCCTAGTGACATTTTCATGGTCACACCTGGGATATGGGTGCCCCTGGCGCCTGGTGGGTAGGGGCCAGCAAGGCGCTGGCCATCCTACAATGCACAGGACAGCCCCCAGCCTCCCACCTCCTTACCCGCCCCCGCAAAGACTTATCCAGCCCCAAATACCGATAGTGCCAACATTGAGAAACCCCAAGAACACGTATATTCAGATCTGTGCTCCACTTCCTCCTTTTCTCCCCACACCAATGCTAACGCGTTCTGCCAATTGTTATCTTCGTTTTCATTAAACAGGTTAGCCAACCTTTTGTGCTTTTCCAGAACAGCACATAAAGGTCTGCGACGGTTTTAGTGGAGCAGCTGTATTTTGTTGCACTTCAAGATGAAGTGTTGACTTATTTACCTGGGCACCTTCTGTATTGGGTCTAGGTTGTTTTGGTGTTTTTTTTTTAATATTTTATTTATTTATTCATGAGAGACAGAGAGAGAGAGAGAGGCAGAGGGAGAAGCAGGCTCCCAAGGAGCAGGGAGCCCGATGCGGGACTCGATCCCAGGACCCTGGGATCATGACCTGAGCCGAAGGCAGACGCTCAACCATCTGAGCCACCCAGGCGCCCGGTTGTTTTGGTGTTGAAAACAGCTGCAGTGAAGATCCTTTTGGCCCACGTGGGAGCGTGGCTGTAGGATGAGTTCCTAGAAGTAGAATCTCCGGTCAGAGGCCGTGTGCGGTTGACGTTTTGAGACATACTGCCAAATTGCCCTCCAAAGGGATGCTTCTGATTTATGCTCCCTCCAGAAATGTAAGATCGTGTCTCTTTCTCTAGCGTTGGTATTTTTTTTCCTCCCTGGTTTCCATTTATAGCCTAAGCTGTCTTCATATCAGCAGAAAAGTTCAAAATGTTGGCAGCAAAGGTGGATTCTGAAGACATTCCCGATATAGAAGGGCAAGGGTAGAAGTAGTCCCGATAAGCCACTATTAGCTAAACGAGAAAGAAGCTCTTCTTTTCTCCCTGTGGAGGAGAGGGAAACTCAAAACGCAGCTGAAAATTAGAGAAAGTTAATTAGATTTGGCTAAACTCCTGAAGGTCTGCTCCCAGGGACCTGATCCCCGCCCCCTCCTGGCTTCCGGTGGTTTCTTGTTAGAATAAACATTAATGTAGGTTATTGACCGGAGAAACCTTAACTGTAAAATGAGGTGCTTTACGTTCTTTTCATTCCTCTTGATAATGAGTATTTCAGAGTTCAGGGTTTTTAGGCTACAGTTAAGAGATGGCATTTACTGTTAGACACATAGTTACGCACACACAGGAGTGTTCCGGCGAGGTGTCGGTCTCTCTTAATGAACCCTAGGTTTAGAAGGTTAACACAGATATACAAAGGTTAAGGCAAATCAGGAGGAGTTTTCTTTTTTTGTTTTTCTTAAAGATTTATTTATTTGTCTTAGAGTGCGCATGAGCGGTGGGGAGGGGCAGAGGAAGGGGGAGAGAAGCAGACTCCTCGTTGAACATGGAGCCTGACTTGGGGCTCGATCTCACAACCCTGAGATCATGACCTGAGCCTTAACTGCCTGAGCCATCCAGGCGCCCCAGGACGAGTTTTTTTTTACTCACATAGAAGATTGGACTAATACAGGCATTCTCAGCCTTAGCTGCCAGTTAGAATCATCTTGGGTACTAAATCTTACGATTTTTTTTTTAAGTAGGCTCCATGCCCAATGGGAGGCTTGAACTCGTGACCCTGAGATCAGGAGTCACATGCTCAACCGACTGAGCCAGCCTGGCGGTCTTTCAGGGGCACTTTATTTATTTATTTATTTATTTATTTTTTCCAAAGATTTTATTTATTTATTTGACAGAGAGAGACACAGTGAGAGAGGGAACACAAGCAGGGGGAGTGGCAGAGGGAGAAGCAGGCTCCCCACGGAGGAGGGAGCCCGATGTGGGGCTCGATCCCAGGACCCTGAGATCATGACCTGAATCAAAGGCAGCCACCCAACCAACTGAGCCACCCAGGCACCCCTGTCAGGGGTACTTTAAAGGGCCAGTGTCCAGACCTTCCCCTAGGCCATTTAATTCACATTCTCTGGGAGGGGGACCAAGGCATTGGGATTTTTTTTTTTTTTAAACTCTTCAGGCGATTTCATTGTGCAGCCCAGATTAGCAGTCGGTGCATTAGAAATGGGGATGGTAAATTTTATGGTCTTTGGACCAAATCTAGCCCCCCCACCTCTTTTTGTAAATAAAGTTTCATTGGAACACAGTGTCATCAATTTGTTTACATATATATGGCCACTTTAGCAGCAGAGCCTATATGGCCTGCAGAGCCCAATTTACTCTCTGGTGTTTTACAGAAAAAGTTTGCTGGCTCCTGGTAGAGTAGATGGTATTTTGTTTTTTGTTTTTTGTTTTTTTTTTTTGGTAACTGCTGTGTGGAACATTATTGAGGACACCGATGGAAAGTGGTTTTGTGAGATACTTCTTTGACAACTTTATACTTGAAAGGCTGCCTTTCCCCTTAGGAATCCAGCCCGCTTTCTCATTTCTGAAAGCGGAAGTTATGAGACAGGCTTCATATCCTTCCCCCCCTTTCCTGTCATGTCTGCAGCTTAACTGTTGAAACCTTAAGTCCTTCTCGTCCTGCTCTTGAATTGGAGGTTTCTTTTTTCTTTCGGTTTCCCTGGTCCTCTTCCTCCTTCTTTTTCACCTTGCTGTTTTTTGTTTTTTTTTTTTTAATATTTTTTAAAAAGATTTTTATTTGTTTATTTGACAGAGAGAGACAGCGAGAGAGGGAACACAAGTAGGGGGAGTGGGAGAGGGAGAAGCAGGCCTCCCGCCAAGCAGGGAGCCCGACATGGGGCTCGATCCCATCAGGACCCGAGCCGAAGGCAGATGCTTAACCGACTGAGCCACCCAGGCGCCCCTCACCTTGCTGTTTTATCACTGTTTCACTCTGTGTGTTCTCTTTGTAAGGTGCCTCTCGGGTGAATTTGCATGAAGATTCTTTCCCCCATTCCGAAGTGCTTGTGCCTTTACCCCATCCTCTCTGTGAGCATGTCCAGTCCTGTACACACATATGCACACGGATGCTCACGCACATGGACACACACACTCCCAGGTTGATAATGATTTTAGAGCCTTAGAGACCTTTCTCACAGGACAAGGATGGTATTTGCTTGCTGTAAGCAACTCACACCCGGAATCTCCCTGAGGGCTGCCTCCCCTCCCCCCCCCCCCGTATGTTTTTGGGAAAGGGCCCTTCCCCCACCAAGGTAGGGACCTCATTATGGTGATAAATCATTGTGGAGCCGTTCATTGCTCTGGTTAGCTGCTAGTGGGCTGGGTGGGGCTCTTGGGAGGCTGCCTCCCTCCAGTCGCTTTAAAGGAACAAATCTCTAGGTATGCAGGGTGAGAGACTGCCCTGTTCCTGGGTGAAGGGGAAGGTGTGTGGGTCATGTTGGAAAATGGAAACGAGAAGAGAGTGAAGGTTTTGAGCAGCCCTCGTAGTCCAGCCCTCAGACTATATCCTGGCCTCTTGCACAGCCTGCTGGTTGGAGGTGGCACTTGGAGTGGGGTAGCAGGGAAGTGGAGGACATCTGAGAGTGAGCTCCCGGGTGAGGGCAGCAGGCTCAGAGGTGACTTCTTGTCTTTGTCCTTGATGGATGCCACACGCTTTCCAGTTGTTTTTCTGGGATCGGCCAGGGCAGGGCGTGTACCCCGCATTTTCTGCTTGGGGTCGGTTGGAGAGGGAGGGGGCATGCCAGAGGATGGCAGGCAGGGTGGCTGAAAGTGCTCCCTGCCTGTGAAGTCTCATTGCATTCTGGGACTGTGCAGACACCTTCGTTTTGTCCCTTTCTTCTGTTTCGGGGGGTACTAGAGGAGGTGGGGAAGGAATTCAAGCAATGCAAGCTCACAGACCCTTGGAGTCTGATCTAGTTGGTCATATAAGGAGCCCATGGCCGAAGTGGGGAGGGTAGCCGGACCCCTGGCCCTGAATCCTCTGTCAGAGGCCTTTGCCTGGGACTAGGGTGAGGAGCTTGCACCGTATCTGAGCGAGAAGACACAGGTTGAATATCCAGGGCTAATCTGTTCACCTGTCTTCAGATGGATGCCTGGGCCAAAAGGAGGAGGTCTGCCTCTCTGGCATTCGCCGGCCTTTTCTGACTTGAGCTCCAGTCTCGGTCGACTAGGAACGAAAAGTGAAGTCTGTGGTAAATGAGGAATTGGGCCTCCAGTTACGTGTGTGCGCTCTGGGGTGGGCTTGTGGGGGGGAGGCGCTCAGGGTCTCTTGGGTACAAGCCCTCTCTGATCTCAGCCTGTGTTAAAAACACACTCTGGCCAGGCTCGGTGTGACTTTATCTGCTGATACTGAGATTGAATATATTACTGTAACCTTAGGCTTTCGAGCTCCCTAATGACGCGGAGTTCCACAGACAACCATCTGGCTGGATTGTGCATTTTAAATATTGAAAGCCACCCAGGCGACTGTTCAGCAGACTGGGTAAATCTGCCAAATGTGTTCGCGGGCTATTATCTCCAAATCAGCCCGTCGTCGAGCAGATGATGTTGTTGGGACAAACAGTAAGAAGGTTTGAGGTTTCTCTCCCCGCCGTGTTCTAGAGCGCGTGTTTGCGAGAAGGAAGCTAAGCGGTGAGTGTTGCCTGTTCCTCCGGCCAGCGCCTGCTTGACGAGGGGTGACCGTGTCTTCCAGATCGGAGCAAGGCCGAGATGGACCTGAAGGAGCTGAGCGAGTCGGTCCAGCAGCAGACGGCGCCTGTTCCTCTCATCTCGCCTAAGCGGCAGATCCGCAGCAGGTTCCAGCTAAATCTCGACAAGACCATAGAGAGTTGCAAAGCACAATTAGGTATGTCCTTTGGTTTGCTCGCCCAGGCACTGTCACCACCATCACCGTTAACTCTTCGTAGGGTCACGGCCCGAATGAAGCCAGAGTTGGACCTTAGCTGCTGTTAGCAGCTGCTTGACCTTGGCCTTACGTGTGCTACTAAAGTATAGCTCCACTCAGGGCAGAATGTTTCAGATTTGCTAGTTAGTGGTTCAGAAGAGTTCTTTGTGGGGTTTTTTGTTTGTTTGTTTAAGATTATTTATTTGAGGGAGAGAAATCACAAGTGCGGGCGAGGGGCAGAGGGCGAGGGAGAAGCCGCCTCCCCGCTGGGCAGGGAGCCCGATGCGGGGCTCGATCCCCGGACCCTGAGATCATGACCTAAGCCAAAGGCAGATGCTTAACCAACTGAGCCACCCATGCGCCCCTAGAAGGGTTCTTTGAATTCCACCCAGCTTATTCTCTGGTTGTGGCAGCCTGCAGACTTGAGGTGCAGGTGGTAGGGGATTTTGAAAGTGGGAGGATCCTCCTGAGTTTGCCCCTGTGCTCCCTGTCAGTGCACGTCAGGTTCCTACTGTCAGGATCAAGTGTGTTCCACACATGTCCAACACAAACTCTTCGGCTGCGGCCTGAGCCCTTCCCACCTGGCACACGCGTCCTGCTTCTATACCTGTTGCCTCCCTTCCTCTTCCCTGTGCTGCCTGCCTTCACACTGCCTACCTAAATCCTTTCCCTAAGGCTGAGCTCCGGCATCACCTCCTCCAGGAAGTCTCTTCTGATTGCCCTCCCCTCCCCATCTGCCACCTCCTGTGGCACTTTACTGCTTTGAAGCATCCGCAGTCTCTGTGTTGGGAGAGGGGTTCCCTCTGGACTGGAAGCTAGACTGGAAGCTCCTAGAGGACAGGGAGGTTGCCTTAAAAGCATTTATGTTCTCCACGGTACTTGGTCTTGTGTACATAGTACATGCTCTGGAATATTTGTTGACAAAGTAAACAAAGCCAGGAGGGTATTTGCAGAGAAGTAGGGGATGGCTGGCCTCAGGAGAGAGAGCCACACCAGGGTGAGGTTTACAGTGTCTGGGTTCCCTGGGCCTTGGGATGAGTAAGCTGTAGTCAGGAGTCATCCAGAAGGGCCAGAGGAGGACATTCCTTGTTGGATTTTCTGTTTGGTTAGGACTTTGAATGGCATGGCTGAAATTTTGCAGGCCATTTAAATAAGCACCTTGGGTCCTTCCCTGCAGCTGGTCTAACTCCTTGATTTATTATTAATGATAATAAGAATTTTAATATTTTGTTTATCGACTGTTTCCTGCATACCTTGCACTGTACTGTGCACGGTGCATAGATTGTCCTGGGAGGTTGATACCATTATCAGTCCCATTTTGCAGATGAAGAAACTGAGGCTTAGAGAGAGCTAGGTCACTAGTTCAGCGTCACACAGTGAATAAAAGTGCAAGAGCAAGATTTGAATTCATGGCCTTTGGGCTCTGGTATCCAAGCCTTTCTTATCACAAATGTGGTCACATTTGTACTTGTGTCTGATTGTTAAACTACAGTAGCATAAGCCTTAGGGACCCAGAAGTTATTTCAGATCTGAGTTTCTGTATTTTGGCTTCTCCTGGTTTGGATTGAGCCCTGGGTGGAGGCATATAATTCTATAATGATTTTGCTGGGTTGCTCATGGTTTTTGTCTGTTTGCAGGTTTCCTTTCAGTGTGTCTGGGTCAGGACAGTGACCTCATTCATAGTGGCCATGGCTCTAGAATGAAGAAGTACAGATTGGGTTTTTCTCATTTCAGCATTTTAGGGTATAGTATTGTCTACCTGCGGCCAGATGCCACTCATTATTGGGAACAGGACACATAAATGGGTTAAATGGAATATGCTTTTGCCCATTTGTGTGTGTGTGTGTGTGTGTGTGTGTGAGAGAGAGAGAGAGAGAGTGAGAAACACCTGCTATGTTGTCATTCTGTCTGGCTTTGGATAGAGATGTGGAGATGCGTGACTTTGTTCTTGACTCCGCTGTCCGTGGAAGAACAGGGCGGACAAGATGGCAGCTCGCCTCTGCATCAGCTCAGGGAGCAGGAGGGAGGGCTGGGCGCTGGGGTCAGCTGGAGAGATGGCGTGTCCCTGAGGGAAGCAGCCAGTGGCTTCGTGGCTCTAGCCAGCCATTGCCTTGTAGGCCTGTGACCCAGAGTGGCCAGATCCTCTGCTCTTTCCACACAAGCCTGCTGTCTTGATTTCTGGGTGAAATTTCCTGACTTGTGAATTGGGCAATATGGTCGTTCTAAGTGAAAAACAAACAAACAACAAAATACCTGCTGGGCCAAGCTCTTGCTTCCTACATAACATTTGTGTGCTGGCCAGATGTGGCTTGTGGGCTGTGAGTTGGCAATCTTTGCTTTAAGGCTTTGGTTTATTTCTTGGAGGCCTGGACACAAAGGGAAAAGGACTTGAATGCTTTGGGAATTCGCGGGAACAGTGCTGGTGGTCTATCAGGAGCCCAGTGTTCTGGCCTTCCCTCTGTCTTGGTTTTCTTTATGTCCTAGGATAAAGTGATTTCTCTGGGCCTCTATTTTCTGATCTGTAAAATGGATCCGTTTTAACAGCTCATATCTGTTGTTCCCTTCAATCCCTCCCATTCTCTACATCCCAATTAGTTATCAGTGATGCAAAGATGTAGCTCCGGATAAATTTAAAATTTACGTTGTCTGGTCCCTTGTCATCTTTGAATGTCAGTAACTGAAACCCTCTGCAAACCCAAGTTCCATTTGTCAGCTGCAGCTAGCTCACTGGTAACCCCACCAGGCCAGTGTGATGAGATTTGAAATGGTTTTTTTTTTTTTTATTCCAGCATTTGGCGTGGAAAATGTTTGCGTTGTAGGTCCTGCTCTTTATTTTGTGACTACGCCACATGCTGGGTTTTCTCTTTGAATTTAGGCATAAACGAAATCTCAGAAGATGTTTACACGGCCGTAGAGCACAGTGATTCGGAAGATTCCGAGAAGTCTGATAGTAGCGATAGTGAGTATATCAGTGACGATGAGCAGAAGTCCAAGAATGAGCCAGAAGACGCAGAAGACAAAGAGGGTAGTCGGATGGACAAAGAGCCATCGGCTGTCAAAAAAAAGCCCAAACTGGCCAACCCTGTGGAGACTAAGGAGGAGCTGAAAAGCACATCACCAGCCAGCGAGAAAGCTGATCCGGGCTCGGTCAAGGAAAAGGCAAGCCCCCAGCCTGAGAAGGACTTTTCAGAAAAAGCGAAAGCCTCCCCTCATCCCACAAAGGATAAACTGAAGGGGAAAGATGAGACCGATTCCCCAACAGTACATTTGGGCCTGGACTCCGATTCAGAAAGTGAACTTGTCATAGATTTAGGAGAAGACCATTCTGGGCGGGAGGGTCGTAAAAATAAGAAGGAACCCAAAGAAACATCTCCCAAGCAGGATGGTAAGTGATCGCACCAGTTTCCGGTTTCTTGATTTGGTTTAGAGGGCCACCTTGCATTTGTATTTCCAGAAGTTATGTGACCCTCCGACGTCACAAAGGGAGGCACCAGAGCGGAGCTTTGATTGGCTCAGGGTCACCTAGCTAAGTCACTGATCAGGCCAGGACTGACTTCCCCCGGGGCCTGCCTGCCTTTCATCTGCTTAGTACCCAACGTGGTTGATTCTGGTCCCAGAAAAGTAAAAAACGGTAGGTGTTTCTAGCAGCAAGGTCATTTTTAGCCGAAGCACCTGCTTTCCCAATAGGCTCACTCATTTCTCTCAAGTGTTTGTCAACGTTTAGACATGTGACAAGGTTGATATTGTTAGAAAAGTTCAATTCAAAGATCTTGAGGAGTTCAGCTCCCTTTCTTCCCTTCATGCTGCCCAGGCACCTCCCCAGTGCATTTTCTTACTGAAATTAGGAGACCACTTGGGGAGGTGGTACCAGAATGCCGAGAGCTCCTTGGGGCGTTGGATGGCGGGCACTTGAATTGGTGTTCCACCACATATGTGTTTCACTGACACACTATTGACATTTTGTGCAGAGTAATACTTTATATCCTGTGCACTGGGGAATGTTTAATAGCATCCTGGGCCTCTACCCACCAGATGCCAGGAGCATCTGCCCAGTTGTGGCTATGAGAGATGTCTTAACGTTGCCATTGGTTCCCTGGGAGGCAAGATCTCCTCCAGAAGGAAAGTGTGCATGATGGGAAAGGTGTCCTTCCCATGGACAAAACAGTCAGCACATTTTCCAGTTGGTTTTGGCAAGTGGGTATGGAGGGATTCCAACATGCCCAAGAAAGATATAATTGAAGAGTTAATTAAGGGCCCAGGAAAAACATTGCCTAAGGACAAACTGGAGGTTATAGCCACAGAACTTTATGTACTCTGTGAGTACCCGAAGGAATAGTCAGGCTTGATTTTTGACCATGCCCAACTGTTGACAGGAGCGGACTTCTCAGCCAAATTCTTGAGTAAGATGTGATTCTGAGTCTGGCTGCTTAGAGCAAGTTGGGGATGGGCCTTGAGAATCTTCTTTGTCCTTGTCCACCTGGGATGCTATGGAACCTCCGTTGTTAAGGAGCGAGAATTCTTGTAGTTCTTCAGAAGAGAATGGAATGTCTCTGAATGGTGCAGTGGAGGGAGAAAGAGAAGCAGTTGAGTGGGGCAGGGAGGATAGACTAGCACACCATTCCCGGGTCACTTTAGATTTACGGATGGCCTCTGAAAAATCGGTTGATGGGTTGTGGATTGGGATTTGAGGCAGATGTGGCAGAAAACAGTAGGGGAGTAGCATTTATTCCATGAGGTTTATGGGAATATTTCGGTACAGCCATGGCAGTGCTCCTATGAATGATACAGTTACATTGTTCCTTATTTTCTGGAACATATCTTTGGATGGATTGGTTTTATGCCTCTTCCCCTTCCAGAAAGAATCTATAACAGATTGACAATATTTGACCATGAAACAAAATGTAAATAAAGTCTGTAAAAGATGAAAGTAGAATAGTAAGTGGTCTGGGAAAGTTTATGCACAGAAATATGTTCTAGCCTTCAGAGTTAGCATAGTTGGGCTTTCATTTTGGCTGTGAGCTTCCTAGCAGTCAAAGCAACAAGGGAATTACAGTCCCTTAAAGGATCTCCTATTTTTCCAAAAAAACCCAAAACCAAACCAAACCAAAACAAAACAACCCAGTTGAGACACAGCTCTTCCTTGCACTGATGTCTGAAGGAAATATGTCTGGGAGACCCCAAGTGTGTGGTGTATGTAATTAAGCTGAAGATGATTCTTTTTTTTTTAAAGATTTTATTTATCCATTTGACAGAGAGAGACACAGCAAGAGAGGGAACACAAGCAGGGGGAGTGGGAGAGAGCCCACGGAGCAGGGAGCCCGATGCGGCGCTCGATCCCAGCACCCTGGGATCATGACCTGAGCTGAAGGCAGACGCCTAACGACTGAGCCACCCAGGCACCCCAAGCTGAAGATGATCCTAAAACATAATTCAGATAGGGCATCGTCCCAGGGGTTGGGACAAAGATCTGCCAGTCTTAAATTTAGAGCCCCTTGATGGTTGTTTGGGTCTTGAAGAATCAGCTTTGTATCATACTCTGCAGTAGAGCCATTTTTTTCAACGTTGTGTTTTCACTTACGAGTTTATTAAGTGAAGGGCATTTTACAGTGTGCCTTCAGTTCCCCTTCAGCTGGGAATGCAGCTTATGTGTAGAATTTGGAGCCTTAGGTAGCAAAACTGCTTTCTAGCTGGTGATCTCAGAATCGAGGCAAAGAGAGAGCTTCCATAGAGACCTTGCTGTGCTTACCTTACAACATCAGTAATTTCCATCCTTCTTTTAGAAAGCCTGCCCTTTAGGTACTAGACATTGACCAGACTCTAGAATCAGTAGGTTAATAAGTAGGGGCAGGTTCTGGAATGGTGGCCCTTAAGAGATTCCCCCTTTCCTGGGCTACATAGGTGATTTGATTATACATTCCAAATTTCTAGGACAAATGGAATTTCCTATGGCCTCTTTTTTTCCCTTCTATAAACTGCTAGAATCTTCTAGAAATCAAAATATTTTAGTGTCTAAGTAGTAACCCCAAAGGGTGCCTCGGGCCTAGAATCTTTTTGGATTGCACACTCCTGGTTTTCATTTGGAACGGAGAGCCATCCGTGGCCACTGTAGAGCAGCAACCCATCTGCGAAGCCAGCTGTTTGTTTCTGCAAATCAGTAGCAAGAGGAGGACCTACTGTCTGAGGAGAGGGGCTAGGCTTGGTCCTCAACAGTAACGGGATATTTTTTGGTCACCTGGGAGGAAAGGGAGGCAGGTGAAGTGCTTCTGCAGGTTAGAAACCCTACCGGGGGACCACCCTGGTAAACCGCTCCTAGAAAACCTGGGTTCAAAGCCCCCTCCCCACCTGCAAGGTGCAGGGGCTGTATCCAGTGTCTGGTGCGTCATATCATCCCGGGGAAAGATCAGGGCTCATCACTGCATGGAGAGCTCCCCTTCCAGCTCCACCTGCGCCCTTGTCTATGAACTTGGGGGGGCCCAGAGGAGCAGGAGGGCAGAGGAGGGCTAGGCAGATGTGATGACCAACGAGAAATTCCCCCGCACCGGAGTCAGGAAAGTCAGCTTGTTTGTTTTTTTTTTCTCTCTCATTCTCCTTGACTTCCTAAAATCCAGTGTACTGAAAATCCTCCCTAGCATAATCAAGGTCAGGTCTTTTCCGGGTTACATAAATCTAAAAGAACAGACATAATCCTCCTTCAAAGTTGCTTATGTCAAGGTACATTGTCTCCCACATGGGTGCTGACTTGTACCCGTGTTTTGGGTGTGATCCACGGGCATCCTTTTGCGGGGGGAGGCAGACCCACCCCACTGGTGGCTGGGACCTCTGCAGTGATACCTGACCCCACCCCCTGTACAGATGAGCGCGACGGGGCCACCCCTTCTGGGCTGCTCAGTGCTTCTGGCTCTAACCCGCCTTCCCGCCACTCCTCACTGCCTACTCTGACTGACCGAAATGCTGCCTGTTCCTAAACACGTCTTGGCTGATGCTCTCACCCCCCAAACTCTCAATTTTGCCTGTTGAAATCCTACCCCTCCACCACACCCGCCCCCTCCCAGAAGACCGACTCTGGAAGGCAGCCTTTTCCAAATTTGTCATTCACAGTTCATTAGTTTGGCCATTCCCAAGTCCTGCTTGTATAATTCTTGACTTTATGTTTTTATTTAAAGCAACTTACGCTTTACAAAAGAATTAAGCTCATTTTAGATGTAGATTTGACCACCGCACAAGAGGTAAACCAGTATTGCCTGATAAAAGGCAACGGGAATACAGTCAGAGTAAAAGCAAGGTGTATACTGACCATGGTGAGCACTCAGTAATATGTAAGCATTGTCGAGTCACGATACCGGACACCTGCAACAAATAGAACACTGTGTGTTCACTGTATTGGAATTAAAATAAAAAAAAACCATAATAAAACAATAACAGCAACAACCATAGCAACAAAAGCAAGTCTCCTGACTTAGCAATACCATTGTGTTGGGAAGGTTCTGGCTATGGGGTCGAATTCCCTTTCGTGTGAGGTCAAGGCCGTTAGCAGCACGCTGGGACTTTGTCCCGGAGGGTGTCAGAGGTCAAGGGAGACTTTCTTTCTGGGTGACTTCATGGTGTTCAGTGCTTTGGCCTTTGGGAAGTCACCTGATGCTTGGGAGTACGTGTTCCCTAGTCGAAGGGATGGTCTTCATCTCTGGATCGACTTTGGCTGGGTCTTTCACAAAGTGCTTACCTGGCTCCAACTATAAAACAAACCATGTGCAGTCATTTTGTTCATCCAGTCATTGGTGGGCAGCTTGAGGGCAGGGGCTGGGTCTAGTTCAGCCCATTTTCCCCAGAGGCCCCTATAGGAGTCTCAGATGTGGGCAAGTGCCCACAGGAAAAGGCCGACACTCTGAGGAAGATGTGCAGAGGCAGACTGTGTGCCTAAGGTGAGATGTGCTCCTCCACCGGGGGGTCCTTGCCCTGCTGAGTTTGTTCGGCATTCGTGGCTGGCCTTGCTCTGTTTGACCCGGAACGTGCTGGCGTAGACAGACGCTGCGGGCCAGCCTGAGTCCAATCTCCACTTTTTGTTTGTTTGTTTTCATGCATCGGCTTTAGTTGTAGGTAAAGCTCCGCCATCCACCACAGCGGGCAGCCAGTCCCCGCCTGAAACTCCGCTCCTCACCCGCTCCTCCTCCCAAACTCCCACGGCCGGTGTCACGGCCACCACCAGCACCACGTCCACCGTCACGGCCCCGGCCGCCGCTGCCGCCGCCACCGCCGCCGCTGCCACCACCACGGGAAGCCCGGTGAAAAAGCAGAGGCCGCTTTTACCGAAGGAGACTGCCCCGGCCGTGCAGCGGGTCGTGTGGAACTCGTCAAGTAAGTTTCAAACGTCTTCCCAAAAGTGGCACATGCAGAAGATACAGCGCCAGCAGCAGAACCAGCAGCAGAACCAGCAGCCTCAGTCTTCCCAGGGGACGAGATATCAGACCAGACAGGCTGTGAAAGGTACCACGCCCCCTTCTGTTCAACGTGGCGCCCACTCCCTTCTTGCCACATCGACAGGAGAGACAGAGTTTTCTTTCTTTTTCTTTTTCTTTTTTTTTTTCAGTTCCTTTTTGTTTCGTGGCCGTCGTATCTTGAAGACCTCGCGCATCCCATGTGGCATTATTTTTAAAGATTGTTTTGCGACTTGTTTTTTCACTTTTATTTTTTTTTTTCCCCTCCGTTGTTAGAAACAAGACATGCATATAGGCTTCTTCGAATGGGGTAAAATATTTGCCCCGCAATCTGTTGTCTTGACCGAACTTCCATTTCATTCTTCACCCTTTCTCAGCGGCCACTGTTAACTGTAAAACCTTTTTTATGCATGTATGCATATATATTTACGTATATATGACTCTCCATACAAATAGTACTTTTTTTTCTTTTTCCTTTTTTTAAAACATAAAAATGGTACCATACTTGCTTTTTTCTTTTTCTTTTTTTTTTTTTTTTTTTACCCATCAGCATGTTTTGGAGGTTCATCCATGTTAGTTATCTATCTACGTTATTCTTTTGGACTGCTGCATAGTATTCCACAGTTGATTTAAATCAAGTATTCCCCTGCTGATGAGCATTTAGATTGCTCCCAGTTTTTTTCTGTTGTAAGCAGTGCTGCAATGAATACCTTTGTGTAAGTTTTCTTGTGCCCACCCCTGAACCTCTTGGCATTATTTCAGGAAGAGGGCAGTGTGAGGAGTTGGTAGCAAAAGGTACCTTAATCACTAGGGATTAGCCACCTCCAGAAGAACAGTCAGCATCATGCACCAGTGGCTGAAGTGGCTCGATCTGGTGCTGCTCAGATGAGTACCTGTCGGCCCATCTTTTGTGAGCGCTGATGCTGATCTTGTCCCGCAGGGAAGCCCACCATCTAGATCCTTGGAGGTTGGGGTCTTCGGTTGAAACTCTCACATACTGAGTGCACCCTAGGGAGTAGAGCTGTAAAGAGCTGCAGCTATGGGTTGAAAGGTAGCCAGGTCTTGAACAGCCCCAAAGAACCCATGGAAGACGGCGGGAAGGAGGACTGACAGATTGGTCAGGCACAGTGGGAGCGCAGCTGGAGTGCTCTTGGAATTTAAAGAGCTAGTGGGGCAGGAGTGAATCTAGGATATTTGAGATTGGGATGAGTATAGTTCCAGTTTTTCTGTGTTTGTACCCTGTAAGAATTACGAGGTTCCCCAGGGGAACTTAGGTGCTGTCAAGAAGAGGCCCATTGATGGTATGGTTCTCAGTTTCCAGATTGTCGTGTGTCAAAGACAGACAAAGCTGGATACTAGTGAAAGGGGTAAGGACTGGTTTTAATCAGTATCTGTTATTACGATAGGGAGAAAAAAGTCTAGCATGAACTGACGTTAATCCCAATTTCCACAGAGGTGACTGGGTGTTTTAAAGGGAGAAGGGGCGTGGAGGTAGGGAAGGGGTTGAGTGGGCATTCCAGTAGAGTCAGGGACATGAAATTTGACAAAAAATGGGAAGTGGGGGGTTGGTTCATGTGAAACCACCGTGGGGTTGCTAACTGATGCTTCTTGAAGTTAGGTTCCTACCCTCCCGTAGAGACTGGGAGACAGGGGCCATAGGGTATTGGCTGGAACAAATAGTAAATTCATTTGGCAGCCTCTTCCTAGGGCTACGGCCTTGAGCTTTCAGAAACCATGTTAGTGTTTACACAAGGCTTTACGGGCCAAGCTTGAGGCGTCATCCCAGAAAAGGCTGAGAGGGTCCTGGCCAGAGACTGGTCAAGGGGAGAATGTCTGTCACTTGAACGTAGACACGCTCAAAGGGTGTATGTCAGGGACTTCACTCCCTCTGCGCAGCTTCATGCTGGGTCGGTCCTTTCCCGTGACAATGGGGTGACCAGGACGCTTTGCTTTCCCAGCTGTGCAGCAGAAGGAGATCACGCAGAGCCCATCCACCTCCACCATCACCCTGGTGACCAGCACTCAGTCGTCGCCCCTGGTCACCAGCTCAGGGTCCACGAGCACCCTTGCATCCTCAGTCAGCGCAGACCTGCCCATCGCCACCGCTTCCGCTGACGTCGCTGCGGACATTGCCAAGTACACTAGCAAAGTGAGTGCCAGTAGCATCCGGGGGTGGGGGTGGGGGCTCAGAGGACCCGCTTCCTGATGGGAGCCAGAAGGATCTTGACCTTGCAGGCTTTCCAGGGTGCTTCGGAGGGGAGACCCTGTTTTTCTTGAGGCTCTCCAAGCCCACATTCTTCCATTTGGGTCTCAAGTTGGATCCAAGCAGAGAAATCTAGAATGCACTGCATCTTATTCTGAGGGCTTTGATGCTAAGTTAGTACACAGCGGAAAAATGACATGGCATCAGAATTACCCTTCAGAATTCATGGCACTCATCGAGACGGTTTCCTTAAGCGCTGGGACGAGTTACTGTTCCGTCAGTTAATAACAGACCAAGGGGTTGGTTTGCATCTAGAAGCCACGTGGAACAAAGGGACAGAATTGTAAGCATGAGATGTATAAGGTACGACGCTCACATCTAGGTCTTTCCAGGAACCAAGATGGCCTAGGGAGTAGTGGCATCCCTCCTGACGCGCCCACCCTCGGGGACATGGTGGCAGGAATCCCCTCAGTGGGTTCATTTGTGGGTGTTTTCTCCTGCAGGCTCTTTCTCTGAATTTGCCAAGTGCTTCTGTGCTCACTGTTGAATTCAGGTGGATACATCCTGCAGCTCTTCTCACCGTCCCGTGAGCGTGCTCTGGTGTTTTTGTGCGGGTCCATGTGACACGCTGCTTCATAGCAGAATAACCACCAGAATGTCAGCTCCGCGAGAGCAGTATCTTATCTGTTTGGCTTACCTCCAGGGCCTAGAAAAGTGCCCGCACACAGTAGGTGTCGACATAGAGCTGTCGAGTGAATGCCTGTGGGTGCCTGACGCCTCTTCACCAGGCTTGTTACTCTCAGTGGCTATTAATAGTAGTTCATGAGTAATAACCTAGGAAGAGTATTTAGCATATGACTAAGCAGGCAGTAGTAATAATTTACTCTTCACAAATGAGTATATTACTAATTAGTGATGAATAAATTATTCAGGTTTCTAGAAAGAGTGGGTGACAGTCATTGGGAATAGTTGGATCTCGAATTCTTGAAGTCTTTTAATAAAGAGTTGCGGTATTATGTTGGGTTAAAGGTAGGCTCCCTTTTAGTTCTGGATGACAAGAGACACTTACATTCTTTTACCGGTGTGTTTTTGTTAGTCATTTTCTTTTTATCCCTTCTCTCAAGGTATATCAGGTATCGCTGCATAACAAATTACCACAAAACACAGCAACTGAAAACAACTCATATTTCTTATCTCAGGGTTTCTGCGGTCAGGAGTCGGCATGGCTCACCTGGGTCCTCTGCTTTGTGAATTCCCATGAAGCCTACTGACCACAGATGTTCAGTGTCCATGAACTCATTGTGCTTGCATGTGGCTTTTTTAAGCAACTCTGCATAACATCCCCCCGCTCCCCCAGTCTCCCCCTCACCTCAGCTAGAATCAGAACTGGTCTCGGGGATGACTTTGTCTCTCCCATTTACTATGTCTGTCCTCCTTTTGAATAAAATGCATGAATTGTTAATAGGGTCGTTGAGTGTCAGAACAGCCAGGATTCAAGGTATAGTCATTGATGGCCATTCTCAAGATTTTAGTCTTACCTGTCCACCAATGAGTTATTGATATAATATTTTTATTTAAGTTAAATTTAATTTTATTTAAATTGACTTCGTTGAAGAACTGAAATAAAATTGAGCTTAATATTGTCAGATCACCCTTCCTTGTCAAGACTTGAAGCCCAAGTCTTTGTTCCTTTGGTTAAAAAGATAGATTGTCATATAAGTGTTTGGTACATATTGGAACCAAACTGAGACTTTCTTCCTAATGGGATGTGCAGAGTTACAGGAGACTGGAAAGGGGGGTCATGTTTTCATTACTGATTTAAGAAGGTGTCTGGTATTGTCTAAATGGTCCCTTGTTCTGCTTGTAGTCCAGCCTTATACCACCTTTCATTGATTTGGTCCAAGCCGCCTATTTACAGATGGGGAAACTGATGCCCGTTGAGTGGCTCTAGCTAGTTTTCTGAGCTCTTGCATTTAGTTTTATTCTATTACCTTTGGCTGCCCATTTTGCTCTTACAGCAAAATTGAGGGGTGAACGTCTTTTTTTTTTTTTTTTTTTTTAAAGATTTTTATTTATTTATTGAGAGAGATAGTGATAGAGAGAGATCATGAGGGGGGAGAGTCGGAGAAGCAGACTCTCCGCTGAGCAGGGAGCCCGATGCGGGACTCGATCCCAGGACTCCAGGATCATGACCTGAACCGAAGGCAGTCGCTTAAACAACTGAGCCACCCAGGCACCCTGAGGGATGAACTTCTTGATAGACATTGTCTTTACAGTTAAGAAAATGAACACAGTGAAATATTTTTGGAGCTGATGAACTTTCCTCTCTCCAAGGTGACCCGGAGTCGAAGACCCAGATTTGTGTGTTTTGGCAGAAGGGTGCTCTTTAGTAATGTTGCGGCCTTTGCTATATTTGGAAGAAAGAGTGAAAGTCCGTCCACAAATCCATGATTTCTTTAAAATGGAATGTAACCATTGCATTAGTAATGTATTGAATTTCATCCGCTTTCTAAAGTTTTCTTGTAAAGCCATTTTGTTTTAATACTTTAAATTGACATGTTGGTGCAGTGGGGCAGGAAGGCCCATACAGAGCGACTGCATAAAGCACGAAGTGTTTTTCCTGGCACCGTCCATGTGTGGCCCCCGAAACAAGTTAGGAGTGGAAATCTCCAGATGTCGTATTCATTTTCTTCCCATTTTGGGGTGAATTTGGGGATTACTATTTTGGGGATTGGCGGTTTCATAGTTAACTCGTGTGAATTTTTTTTCTGTAGAGATAAACAGGTATTTCTGAACACCTGCCCTGAACCATAGTCTTCACTCGGATTTCTCACGTCATCTTTGTGCACCCCCTACCTGGGGTACTGCAGTTATCCTTGTTTTCTACATGGGGAATCCAAGGCTCAGAGAGAGGATGATGATGGAAGCCAATCTCGGGCATCAGAGACGGGTGGTCTGTGTCTTGCCTTCTCGCTGGATTGCAGCAAACTGCAAAACAGTGGAGACTTGGCAGTGACCAGGCCATGCCTGGAGGCCTTGTTGGGTCTCCTGTCCCCTCCTCTTTCTCCTGTGGTGGGCGTGGGATCAGCCAGCAAGTGGGAGGTAGGAGAGAAATCATCCTGCAGACACTATTCAGTCAGTAGATAACTAGGTGCTTGCTGCGGGGACCTGAGCTGATGTCACAAACTTGCTGATGCCGTCGGGGCTCAGATGCTTAAAGCAAAGGAAGAGGGGAAGCAAACTGGAGAGGCAGTGAATGAATGCCCTGACCCTCCAGATGAGCCTGTGGTTACAGAAACTAGCTTTATTTGTAGGTGATTCATTACTCCCCTGGTTTATACCAGTTCCTCAACCTCAGCACTGGTGACACTTTGGCCTGGAGAAGTCTTTGTTGTGGCGGCTGTTCTGTGCGCTGTAGGGAATTTAGCTCATCCTTGGCCTTCACCCAGTAGATGCCATCTCCCCCCCCCCCCCGCCGCCCCCCTCTGCCATGACAGCCACAGATGCCAAATGTCCTGTGAGGGGCAGAATAGCCCCCTGTTGAGAATCACTGCTTTATGTTAGATAGATTTTAGATGTCTGTCCTCTTGAAAAGCCTCAGGGAAGTGAACACCCGAATTGTTTCTGTTTTTATCTTTCAGATGATGGATGCAATAAAAGGAACGATGACAGAGATCTACAACGATCTTTCTAAAAACACTACGGGAAGCACAATAGCCGAGGTCAGAGATGACACATAATTCCTTACTTGCTAAGAATGTTTTATGGGCTGCTGTAAAATGGTGCCAGGAAGCAGATTTTCTGGAAGTCCCTCCAGGGTGCTCTGCCGATTGTGGTTGTTGGGGAGGGTACTTCTTCATTTAGCCAGAAGGCTGGCTCTGTGGGGACACACCCTGCTTTGTGTGATCAGAGGACAGCCCACACCGGAGCCTGAGTTCACCCCCTGGTCTGTTCCTTTGGCCCCATGTGTAGTTGTCTCTTGGCTCTCTGTAAATGTGGACTTTTTTATCCAAGTGGTTATTGTTGTTTAAGAATTCGTGTACTGAGAGCCTCCACAATCATGTGGTTGCCTAGGGAATGGAGTGGTTAAGACATTAAATTGTTCACTTATAAGTGACCATTTATAAAAATAGACCTCTTGAACTTCCTTCCTTAGGCTAATTTACTGTGAGCCAGATGCAGTGGAGTCACCAGGTGAAGTGATGAGTGGCAGGATTTCTTGAGGTCATTCAAAGTGAGGTTGGAGACCAGGAAATTCCACACAAGCTATTGACCTATGAGGGCCTGGCAGGGTTAGGATGACCCTCAGAAGAAGAAAAAATCTCTGGGAAGGTGTCCTAATAGGCTTTTGACGGAGAACGTTGTGAATATAAAGCTTTGAGAGAGGTCCTGAGAGGAATCAGTGAGTCCCCTGAGATTTTTTGCTCATGTGACCCTCTTTATGATTGGGCCAAGGATGTCACAAACAAGAAGGGATGATGTTGACTTAGAAAAGCACCCCCCTCCCCAAATACTTCATTGTTTTTTTGTTTGATTTAAGAATTGGCATATGGTTGGAAATACGGATCCATAATGTCTCACTTGAAACCTTGGGGTCCAGATGTGTGCCAGAAATTTTCAGAATTTAAAGAGGCAGTATGCACCCCCCCCCCCCATTTCTGCTGTGAAATATGCTTGTTCACACCTTGTGGGATAAATGAGGGTTTCTCAACCTCAGCACTGCTGACGTTTGTGCCAGATAATTCCGTTACGGGGGCTGCCCTGTCCATCATAGGCTGTTCAGCAGCACCTTGGCTTCTGCCTCTTGTTGGCAATCGCACCCCTCAGCTGGGACATCCTGGATGTCTTCAGACATTGCAGTGTCCTGGAGGGAGCTGGGAGGGCAATGTTGCCATCGTAGAGAAGCACTGTGGTCCTCAAACTCTGTAAATACCCCATAGCAGTTCAGGTCAAGTTATTTTTTTCCCTCCAGTGACTTTCCTGCAACACTTACCCCTTCCTCCAATAATACCCTTTGGTTTCCAGAGACGTTAGGCTTTGGAATTTCAGGTGAATGACTGTGGATCCCACCTAAAATGTTAGATAAGAGATAAAGCTATCTTTGTTTTAGTTTCTTTCTTTCTTTCTTTTTTTAAAGATTTCATTTGTTGATTTGACAGAGAGAGAGAACACAAAGGGAGCAGCAGAGGGAGAGGGAGAAGCAGGCTCCCCACTGAGCAGGGAGCCCGACTTGGGGCTCAATCCTAGGACTCTGGGATCATGACCTGAGCCGAAGGCAGACGCTTAACCAACTGAGCCACCCAGGCGCCCCTAGTTTCATTTTTTTAGACCAAAGTTATAATCAAACCTATTATGTTTTAATTTATTATGAAAATCTGGTCCTTGTTTTTCATTCATTCATTCATTCATTCATTCATGTTTAAAGTAAACTCTCTGCCCAATGTGGGACAACCCCAAGATCAAGAGTCGCCATGCTCTAGCAACTGAGCCAGCCAGGCCCCACTCCCATCCCCACCCCTGCTTGTTTTTACTTGAAGTGACTTTTCCTGGAGCCAGTATTTCTTGGAAAAGATGGACTGCTTGTATCGTTGACCCTTGAAAAATGGGTTTGAACTGTGCTCATCTATTATATGTGGATTTTTTCCAGTGCAGTACTGTAAAATGCATTTTCTCTTTCTTGTGATTTTCTTAACATTGTCTTAAGCTTACCTAATTGTACAGATACAGTATCTAATACACAGAATGTATGTGTTCATCAACTGCTTATGTTTTTGGTAAGGCTTCCTGGTCAAGAGTAGGCTATTAAGTTTTGGGAGAGTCAAAAGTTACATGTAGATTTTTGACTGCCTGAGGGTGCTGGCGCCCCTAACCACCCTCCCGCCCCACGTTGTTCAAGGGTCAACTGTATTTCTTTTTGGAAACAATTCTTCTTGAATTTGGGTTAACACACTGGTGCCCACCTCTCTGGACTGCAGCAGCTAGGCTGCCTACGCCTTGATCTACCACGTGGCATTGACTCTTAGAGCTGGAGGTCAAGTTCCGAGCCCCCGCTGGTGAATGCCACCTAGACGTGCCTTCTAAGAGTCCCGCTCCCCCTCGTTACAGATTCGCAGGCTGAGGATCGAGATCGACAAGCTGCAGTGGCTGCACCAGCAGGAGCTCTCTGAAATGAAACACAACCTGGGTGAGGCCCGGCGGATTGGTCCGTACTGAGGACGGTTTTGGGCGGTGAGCTTCTATGCAGCTCTGGACGCAGGTCCAGGCTGTGAATTGAGTCTGCAGTAGGCTGGGGATGTCCCAGTGCTGGGGAGAGCACAGGATCCTGGAGAGTCGACCCCAGGTGTAAGAGCAGGTATGAGGGGGTATTCCCCTCTTTTCTCTTCGAGATACCAACATGTGTAGTAGAGTAGTAACAACAGCAGTAGGTCCGTGTACTGAACTCTGGACTTGGGGCCAGGAACTGTTGAAGTACTTTTCCGTGAATTACCTTGTAATTTAATTCTCCTGGAAACCCTTTTTTTTTTTTTTTTTTTAAGATTTTATTTATTTATTTGACAGAGAGACAGCGAGAGTAGGAACACAAGCAGGGGGAGTGGGAGAGGGAGAAGCAGGCTTCCCGCCGAGCAGGGAGCCTGATGCGGGGCTCGATCCCAGGACCCTGGGATCATGACCTGAGCCGAAGGAGACGCTTAACGGCTGAGCCACCCAGGCGCCCCTCCTGGAAACCCTTCTGAGCAAGGGCTCTGCTATCCCCATTTTCAGGTGAAGCAAGTGAGGCACGGACACGTTGAGGAAGCTTGTTGGAGTCTCACAGCTGGGATTCCGGTTCCGGCACTGTGGCTCCAGATGTTTCCTTCTACCTGTTGAATATTGGGCGTTTCACCAAAGTCTCAGACACCTCCTTTGTGTCCCACACTGTAGAGGAAGCTTCTGTGTTGCTCCCTGGTTCAGACAGAGTGCTGTTTTGGCCTGCCATTGTGTCCATGGTGTTAAAGGCTCTCCCCCCCCCCCCCCCCCCCCCAAGGTAGAGCATTTTCCTTCAGACCATCGTGTAGCATCAGCCCCAGAATCCAAATGCTGGCTCGGGTCCCCAGTGTTAGGGAGGCAGACCCAGGTGTGCCCGCCTGCTCGCAGGTGATTCGTGTTGAAATCGTGCATTGCAAATGCAAATCCTTAGGAAGCTGACGGAGGAAGTTAGCCTTCTGTCCTTTAGCGTGTTGCCGTGGAGGGAGTTTAGTTGGATATTGTGGCTTCTTCTTGTTTCTCTAATAAAGTCAGGGAATCTATTTTTATGCGGAATCTCTCCATTCTTAAATAATTGGCTGCACGTTTGAAAAAAAATACACGAGGGCTGGCCAGAACTTGCCGTGGTCTGCAGGCTCCTTGTTAAAGGCAGCGGCGAGGGACAGAGAGGCTGTTTCTGGCACCAGTGCAAGGGGTTAATTTTCTTTTTGGTGCCTTCTAAAAATTTTAATTAATTAATTAATTTTGAGAGAGCGAGAGATCGCACGTGTGTGAGAGAGCCAGGGTGGGGAGGAGCAGAGTGAGCGCGAATCCTAAGCGGAGTCCACGCCCAGCGCAGAGCCTTGACGCGGGGCTCATGAGCTGAGCCGAAATCAAGAGTCGGAGGCTTAACCGATTGAGCCACTCATGGTTTGAGGAGAGAGAGAGAGAGAGAGAGAGAGAGAGAGTGTGTGTTTTGATTTCAGGAAGAGAATTTTGACGATCGAAGGATCCTTTATTTTTCTGTTGGCGTGCAGGTCACCCCTGGGTGAACTGTGCATGGAGTTCTTGTCTCAAGTGAAAGGAGGAAGTATCAGCAGACTGAGCGGTTTGATAGTTGATCAACCATAATGATCCATCACAGGGTCCTGTGTGGTAGATTTCACCCACTGCCACCAAACACACTAAATGGAAAGCATGTCCGAGTTCCAGGGCCAACTCTGTCCTTATTAGCCGTGTGCCTCAGTTTCCTTATCTGTGAACGGGATATTACAGTAGAGCTTGTCTCACAGAGTTAGTGTGAAGATGAAGCGAGTTGATACAAGGTGGTCAGAACAGCACCTGCACGTATATGCTGGGTGCTTGTAAGTGTTTGGTTGCAAACACACTGATGATAAAATTCAAAGTGAGCTCAGTGGAAATTGCTTTGAAGGTTTCTCTGAGGACTTCCCGCAGTATCACGGCGGGGCTCTGGTTATCTGCAGATACTGGGATGTAGCCAGGCTAGGTTACTCGCCTGGGGGTCACACAGCCGAGGCACCTCTGAGCCAGGATCCGCACCCGTGTCTCTTGGAACCCATATCCTGGACTGCCTTTCTGATCTGGTATGAAAGCCTCCCTGCCCTGGGCCGGGGGACTGGTGATGAAGCTGGTATCCTCTTCCCTCCCCTGTCAGAGCTGACCATGGCGGAGATGCGGCAGAGCCTGGAGCAGGAGCGGGACCGGCTCATTGCCGAGGTGAAGAAGCAGCTGGAGCTGGAGAAGCAGCAGGCGGTGGACGAGACCAAGAAGAAGCAGTGGTGTGCCAACTGCAAGAAGGAGGCCATTTTCTACTGCTGTTGGAACACCAGCTATTGTGACTACCCCTGCCAGCAGGCCCATTGGCCCGAGCACATGAAGTCCTGTACCCAGTCAGGTATGGCCACTCGGGGTGCGGCCTGTCCTAGGCCCGGTGCGGTGGGCCTTCGGCTCCCCCGTGGCCCACAGGCCCACAGAGCAGACTGGTGTGGCCAGGTTGGCTTGCCCTGTCCCTTGCCAGTCTTGTGCGGACACAGAGCCGACACGTGAGGCACAGCTGTTTTGAACTTTTGGCCTCCTCTCTGTTACTGGGCTGAGTGTAGATTCTTTTTTTTTTTTTTTTTTTTAAGATTTTATTTGTTTATTTGAGAGAGAAAGAATGAGAGATAGAGAGCATGAGAGGCAGGAGGATCAGAGGGAGAAGCATACTCCCTGCTGAGCAGGGAGCCTGTTGCGGGACTCGATCCTGGGACTCCAGGATCATGACCTGAGCTGAAGGCAGTCACTTAACCAACTGAGCTACCCAGGCGCCCCATGGCTGAGTGTAGTTTCATGTGAGGTGTAGTGGTTCTCAGTGGGGTGATTTTTGGTCCCCACCCCAAGACACTGGCAGTGACTGCAGGCAGTGTGGTCGTCCTAACCGAGGCGGTGGCTACTGACATCCGGAGTGGAGAAGCCAGGGATGCCGCTAAGCATCCTGTAATGCACAGGACATCCCCCCTTGATGAAGAATGATCTGGCCCAACATGGTCAGTTGCACTAAAGTTGAGAAATCCTGCTTTTAAAGATTTTTTTTTTTTAATTTATTTGACATAGAGAGAGGGAACACAAGGAGGGGGAGTAGGAGAGGGAGAAGCAGGTTTCCAGCTGAGCAGGGAGCCCGATTCGGGGCTCGATCCCAGGACGCTGGGATCATGACCTGAGCTGAAGGCAGAAGCTTAACTGTCTGAGCCACCCAGGCGCCCCGAGAAATCCTGCTTTTAAAGTAATACTGGACTCCTAGCTTTAAGTAACATGGATTCTCAATTCTCATGTGAAGGAAAAAATGTTGGTTTGGAACTATCTTTGTCCTCTCTTTCTAACAGAACAGGCAGCCCTCAGGCTAGGAGCCTCCAGCAGGACACACTATCCAGCTAGAATTTATTAGTAATATTTTCAGTGTTAATTTTTACAGTTAGCTTTTATTTCTGACAGATACTAGTTTTATATGCTTAGCCTTCCTTTTTTTTTGAGAGCAAGTGTGAGCAGGGGACAGGGCAGATGGAGAGAGAATTTTTTTTTTTTAAGATTTTATTTATTTGACAGAGAGACAGACAGCAAGAGAGGGAACACAAGCAGAGGGAGTGGGAGAGGGAGAAGCAGGCTTCCCTCGGAGTCAGGGAGCCCGATGTGGTGCTCGATCCCAGGACCCCAGAGTCATGACCTGAGCTGAAGGCAGACGCTTAATGACTGAGCCACCCAGGCGCCCCAGGAGAGAGAGAACCTTAAGTAGGCTCTGCTCAGCGCAAAGCCCAATTCGGGGCTTGAACTCATGGCCCTGAGATCATGACCTGAGTTGAAATCAAGAATTGGACACTTGGGGTGCCTGGGTGGCTCAGTCGTTAAGCGTCTGCCTTCGGCTCAGGTCGTGATCCCAGGGTCCTGGGATCGAGTCCCACATCCGGCTCCCTGCTCGGCGGGAAGCCTGCTTCTCCCTCTCCCACTCCCCCTGCTTGTGTTTCCTCTCTCGCTGTGTATCTCTCTATCAAATAAATCTTTAAAAAAAATAAACAATTCATATAATTAAAAATTCTATAATTAATAAGATAGTGTGTCTGTTAGACCGGCGAACTTTTTGAAGGTGACATGTGAGTGACCAGGATTGAGAAGCACAACCAAGGTCAGAGGTTGGCAAACATTTCCTGTGAAAGGTCCACAGAGTAAATATTTCTGGGTTTGTGGGCCATGTGGTTTGTTGCAACTGCTCTGTTGTGCTGATTTGGAGAGAAGGCAGTCCTAGACAATATGTTATGTGGTGGGCATGGCTGTGTTCCAATAAAACTTTATTGACAAAAATAGGAGGTGCTAGTATATGCCAACTCCTACTTCTATTATTTTGTCATTTTATTTATTTTTTATTTTTTATTTTTTTTATTTATTTGAGACAGAATGAGAGAGAGAGAGCACATGAGAGGGGGGAGGGTCAGAGGCAGAAGCAGGCTCCCTGCCGAGCAGGGAGCCCGATGTGGGACTCGATCCAGGGACTCCAGGATCATGACCTGAGCCGAAGGCAGTTGCTTAACCAACTGAGCCACCCAGGCGCCCTTATTTCGTCATTTTAAAAAGGCAGTATTGAACCACCCATTGCTGGGTCCTTTTACTTTTAGGGAGCTGTCTTCTTAATGGCCACTTTAAATCTCTTCCTGCAGTGGAGTTAAATTCTCCTCTAAGTTCTGGAATGTGTCTGATGACCGTTTTGTTGTCACTATTACAAGGTGGCCAAAATGTCCTTCATGTTCCTTTCTTTGTGGCATTATAATGTCCATCTTTCAGAACGTCCTCTCAGATGCTCCAAGCTTCTACCCTCTCTAGAAACTCTCTGCCGTAGACATCGTGTTGTTTTTCATGTGGATTTCCCTGCCTTGCTTTGGAAGGAAGCAAGTGCACGGGGCTAAAATAGGACTAAAATGAGAAATTACGGAGTGAGTAATTCTAGATCAGCGGTGGCAGGCTGGCTTTGCTGATGGGCTTCATCTGCTCTACCACCATGCTTTCGTCTCCACAGTGACTTCATAAAACTTGAATTAATGAACTGTTAAAAATTAACCTATTTTCACACTAAGTCTGGAATTTTGGCTTCTAGAAAACTGGAAAAGCCCCTGGGCGTGACTGTGCAGCAGCTGTCTGTTACGGATGGTGGGTGGGTCAGCGTTGTTCTGGGCTTGGTGCAGAGTGGGGCTTCCCGCCGTTCTGGAAGCCGCGGTGCTTGTCTCATACGTGGCTTCTCTCTCCCTTTCCCCCCAGCTACGGCTCCTCAGCAGGAAGCGGATGCCGAGGTGAGCACAGAAACACTAAACAAGTCATCACAGGGGGGCTCTTCCAGCACACAGGCAGCCCCTCCGGAAACAGCCAGCACCTCGAAAGACAAGGAGACCTCGGCGGAGAAAAGCAAGGACAGCGGGTCGGTGAGTAGCCACTCGCCTTTGGCCAGTGACGCCAACACTTCGGGCCACACGGAGTCTCAGCACCCGTCCCCATGCCTGCCACCTCTGCACGTCCCATGTGGGTAGGAGGTTTGTCTGCAAGGTGGTCAAGGCAGCCTGCTGCTGGGGGTGATAGTCTTAGCTGCTCTTCAGCAGTGGGCATGCGGGCTGGGACAGAGGGACGTGGAGCCCGAGTGGACGTTTGTGTGACTTGGCAGCTGCTCTCCGGGGACTCTCAAAGTCTACAACAGTGTGGTCCAGTAGAACCTTCTGTGATGACGATAGCGTTCTGTGTCTGCTCTGACATCCACTAGCCACATGTGGCTGCTGAGCGCTCGCACCCTGGCTGGAGGGAGCAAAGACTCGCACTCTCAATTTCAATTTTAATTAATTTAAATATAAATAGTCACATCAAGCTAGTAGCTGCCGTATTGGAAAGCGAAGGTGGCACCTCCTAGTTCCCAGTGTGTGGTGTATGTCACATGGATTGCATGCAGAAGTTATTTTCGGTGGCACATTGATAATGTTCTACATTTGTAGTCATTATGTATTTATTTCAATGTGTATTAGGAAGAGAATAAGTCCTTATGCCATCCATCCAAACCCTTTGATTTCATTGATAATATTGCCTGGTAAGTGGTTAATGTGAAATAAACGTGAGCTGGATAATCCTTTTGAAGGAATATACCTCCTCTTTGGATGTGGGCAAAACTCTGGAGGGTAGGTAGGTCAGTGGAGGAAGTTGAGGAAGCAGTGAATGTTCTAGAAGCTAAGGCTGTAGAGTCGAGCAAGGGGCCACCCCGTTACTGGGTTCCAGCCTGTTCATTCTGGGAGACAGAGCAAAGGTATAGGGCCGTCCCTGCTGACCTGGCCTCCACCCCCATGGATCCCTAGGCTTCCCTGGGGGGCTACATTGGCCCCCGTGCCTTGTGTCCATCTCTCTCTTTTTGTATTTTTAGACCCTCGACCTTTCTGGCTCCAGGGAGACGCCCTCCTCCATTCTCTTAGGCTCCAACCAAGGCTCTGGTATGTTGCCCCCTGGTGGGTGAACGGTGCTCTCACAACTCCTCCCGGGCAGAGGGGAAGCCATTTTCTCAGGGAGAACTTTAAGGGTTTATGGCAGTGGTTTTCCAACCACTGTGGATCCTTAGGGATCTTTGGGGGTGCCCTGGGCAGGTCATTGGGGGGTGAGGGAGTGGCCGGGCAAGGCAGCTTTCAGGCACCTCTCCAAACTGATCAGTTTTTCCCTGGGTTTGTTTTATTTATTGGGGTTCCGCATAAAAGTTCATTCGAAAGGAGGGTTCTGTTGCTGACCTGGGGTGGGGTAGAAGGTGTGCATGTTAGGTCGGGCAGTTCTTCTGCCCTCAGGGAAATGACCACAGTGAGTGAAACCATCTGGAACTCTATTCCTGAGGTCCCAGCGCCCACATGAGAGGGCACGTGAGCCTTTAGAGAAAAGAAAATTTTTAGTTGGGTGATTTTTCTGTAGAAATCTTTCTTCTTGGGGAATGACCTGGTAGGCTGTTTTGGGGTATTTTCTGGGGCTAAGTTTTTAGGTTTTCTGTGGGGTTTGAGCTGTCCTCCATTCTAGCCTGAAGGGTCATTTTCCTGTCCCCTCCTAAACCAGTTTTGGGTGATTCCAGAGGAGAGGGTTCACAGAAGGTGCCCCCATTGAGGACAATTTGCATCATTCAGGGTCCCTTAGCTCCAGGATCTTTCTGTCTGCTGGACGATTCTCTTCAGCTGAAAACCACACGTTACTTCCCTTCTGTGTATTCAGTGCACTGAGGAGGAAGTGATGTTCTCAGCATCCGTAGCTGGGGAAGGTTTCCCGGAGGGGCTGGGGAGTGGGATTCAGGTTGAGGGAGGGGGTAAAAGGGAGTGGCACGAGCCGACTTTAGGGAGAAGGTGAACTTGAGATTAAATCTGACTGAACTGCCTGTTGAAAAAGTCGTCCCCTGCTCCCTTCCCTCCAGTCCTCTGACTGAATCCCCGAGAACAGTTTAGTTTAGCGCTAAGATGCCTTTTGCGCCTCTTTGATATTTTCTCGTTTCTCCTTTTAACAAAGACAGAGCAGACTTGGCATCTGTCTAGACGTTCATGCTGCAGTTTGGTTTTCATTATGTTTATTTGTAGAGTTGCCCTCTGTCTGTGGCACGTGTTACTGATTTTCTGCTAATGATGTAGGTAGTGATATAAAATTTGTTTTTTTTTTTTTCTTTTTTTAAGATTTTTATTTATTTATTCATGAGAGACAGAGAGAGAGAGGCAGAGGGAGAAGCAGGCTCCCAAGGAGCAGAGAGCCCGATGCGGGACTCGATCCTAGGACCCTGGGATCATGACCTGAGCCGAAGGCAGACGCCCAACCATCTGAGCCACCCAGGCGCCCTAAAATTTGTTTTTTTTTAAGTTTAAAATGAGCTTAAAATAAAAACATGGAATAAGCAGTATGTTAGGAGGACTGTGGCTGTTTCCGAATCGTGAAGGTGATGGGAGAGAGGCCCAGGGTAGGGAAGCATCGCTTCCGACGGGGCGGGGGCGGGGGGGCGTTGCCGTTGGGGTTTTGGAGCAGGGGAGTGGGCTCAGAGCGGCACTGGGGACGTTGACTGCTGTACCGAATCTGCTGGCGTGAGGAGGACTGTGTGCAGGAACGTGGTTGGGGGATGACCGCATTCCATGTCTGAGGTGACGAGGTATTACCCAGCCCAGGGGCTGGCCGACTTTCTGTGAAGGGTCAACGGAGCGAATACCTTAGACTTTGTGGGCCCTGTGGTCTGTGTCATAGCTGTTGAGCTCTGCTGTTGTAGGATGAAAGCAGGCATGCATCGTATGTACGGCACCTGAGTTACACACGAGTGTGGCTGCGCTCTAAGGAAAATCTGTGTTAGAAAATCCAGGCATTGGGTTGGATTTGGCCCGTGGGCCATCGTTGTTGGACCCCTGGCCTGGAGCACACGGGTGTCCCAAGTGGGTGGAAAGGAAGTGTCACATGGGGGAGAGGAGGCCAGAAGCCCCAGAAAGTGCTGATGACTTGGTACTGGGTGGGTGGCAGCAGAGAATAGGCAGAGAATAATCCCCGAGGAGTCTGGTGACAGGACGGGGGAGGAGGAGGGAGGGTAGGATCCTGAATTCTACTTGAGATTCTAGGAGGATGCACGGCACTAGGCCATTTGCAGATGATTGGAGGTGCACCAGAATTTGTCGAGTGTCTCTGGGGCCAGGTCCTGGCTAGGACTGGGGATTTAGGGGTGAACTAGGCAGATGACTCCAGGGGAAGTCAGAAGAGTGCTTAATTGATGCTTACGGAAGAGCATGAAGCAGTTGGAAACCTTAGTGCGTTTATTCCCAGCTTCTGTGAGAGAAGTTACTATTTCCATTATGCAGATGAGGATGTTGAGGCCGTGAGAAGTTAAGTCACATGCACGAGTAACTCCGTAAGTGATTATCAGAGCCAGGACTTCAGATTTCTCGGACTCCAGACATGCTGTCACCCACGGTGCTGGGAATACTTAGGTTGACCCGTATAAAATTGTAAGTCAAAACTGGTTGAATGTCGGCAGTTTTCTATGGCTCAACTAATAAGGTGCTGATGTCTGGGGAAAGTCAGGGCTGTGGATGATATGGCCTCTTCCCTCCGCCCCCGCTTCCAGACCTGCTCTTTCCTTTCTTTACTTCCCTCCTTCTCCTTCCCCAGCTTCATTTCCGTGGCTCATTCCAGCAGCACCCTTGCTCACATAACCCAGCCTCCCATGGCTTCTGGTTTTCTCAGTATGTCCGTTTGGCAGAACCCCACCTTGGACAGACCCCAGCCATCCATCCTTTACTCGCCTATACCCAAACATCAGAGGTCAGCTGGAGAAGGTTGCGCAGGAGGACGCGCTCATTCCGCCCCGCACACACACATCTTGACCACTAACCTGAGAAGCAGACGTGTTCATCGGCCTGCTCGTCTGACCAGATCCGTTGCATAGCAGCCTCTGTACCCGCTCTCCACAAGGGCAGCTTCCCAAGTTCTCTGCCGTGTCGCAGACCTCCCGGCTCTCCCTGTGCCGTCATTGCCAGCATGTGGCCTCGCCTGTTCCTTCAGAGGAACACAGCCAGGCGCTGCCCCCGCCCCCGACCTTTCCAGCCTCCCGGCCTTCAAATCTCCCCACAGCTGCACTGGCCTTTCCCTCCCTGTCCTCTTGTAGACAGATGTCTTACTTTCAGTTGCTTCCTTCCCATGGCAGTTAGCTGGCTACCTATTTATTTTTATTTTATCTTATTTTTTAAAGATTTTATTTATTTATTTGACAGAGAGACACAGCGAGAGAGGGAACACAAGCAGGGGGAGTGGGAGAGGGAGAAGCAGGCTTCCCACTGAGCAGGGAGCCTGATGTGGGGCTCGATCCCAGGACGCTGGGATCATGACCTGAGCCGAAGGCAGACGCTTCACCGACTGAGCCACCCAGGGGCCCCTATTTATTTTTAAAGATGTATTTGTTTGAGAGAGAGAGCACACGAGTAGGGGGAGGGGCAAAGGGAGATGGAGAGAGAGAATCTCCAAGCCGACTCCCTGTTGAGCATGGAGCCAGGCTCGGAGCTCGATTTCACGACCCCTGTGATCATAACCTGAGCTGAAACCGAGTCAGACGCCTGACGGACTGAGCCACCCAGGCGCCCCCTTCCCATGCATTTATTTTTATTTTTTTTAAGATTTTATTTATTTGCGAGAGAGAGAATGAGAGAGAGCATGAGAGGGAGGAGGGTCAGAGGGAGAAGCAGACTCCCTGCCGAGCAGGGAGCCCGATGCGGGACTCGATCCCGGGACTCCAGGATCATGACCTGAGCCGAAGGCAGTCGCTTAACCAACTGAGCCACCCAGGCGCCCCTTCCCATGGCATTTAAATACCCTCCTGTACTTCCAGGTTCCTTCCTTGGCACCTTGCATCTCCCCCTAGAGCGGTGCTGCCCCCTAGAACATTCTGTGCTCCCTGTGCTATCATCCCCTATGGTAGCTGCTCGCACACCTGGCCGCTGGACCCTTGAACTGTGGCTGATGAGACTGAGGAGTAGAAGTTAACATTTTCTTTCACTTTATTTAAGTAGCATCGTGTAGCTAGTGGCTACCATATGGAACAGCACAACCTACAACCTGTCTCCTTCCCCAGCCCAGGTCGATGTCTGTCTAAGAGTTGTTCCATCCTGTCTCTCTTGCTTTCTTACTCCTGCGCTCTCGCCGTGTGGTCTCTGTCTCGGCGCAGTCACCATTGAGCTCTGAGCCATGAAGAACTGTGGATGTCTTAAATTCTAAATGGCATTTTGAGACGTTGTCTCACAAAGATGGGATTGGTCAGAGTCCCAGGATCTCCCCAGCAGAAGGGACCGTCTCGGCAGGTCTTGGCTAAAGAAAGAGGTGCACCTTGGGCTGAACTCAGGAGGTGTCCACATGTAGGACCTGGGACCAGGCTGGACGGGAGGCATATTAGCAAAGGGGGGGAGCACCCCGGAGCTCACTGTCAGAGATTGGAGGAAGAAAAGTATTTTCAGGCAGTGTTGCCACGACATCCCGCAGCGTGAGCAGGAAGGACAGAAGCAGGAGGTGCCCGGAGGCCTGGTCAGGACAACAGACTTGCGTCTTACCATTTTCCTTTATTTCTCACAAAACGTTGTGCTGGAGGTTGTGCAAAAGCCTGTTTGCTGCCCCTTCGAATTCCTCGTACGTCGCATTTCTTCTCCTGGCCCTTGCCGTTGGCGGCCATGTGGGTGGAATCTCGCGGACGGAAGTGGGCTCTGAAACCCTGGGGACTCCTGAGCTCGGAGTAGCTCCTGGCACTGGGTGGGTGAGGAAGAGGAGGGGACAGCCGGAGGGAGAAAGCTTTTAGTAGGGGGTATACCCTTCCTTGCTGCTTGCCTGTCTTTTAATTTTGAGATTCTAAAGCAAAACACGCATACAGTTAGAGAAAATAAAATGGTCCAGAGAAGGACTGTTCCTAGGCCCAGTCCCCACTGACGTCTCTGGTACTTACCTCCTTACGTACAAATAATGTATTTCCCTGTACTTTTGTTTCTGGATGTTAGTTTTCCACATTGCCTGTTGACTTGGGCTTTAGAAGATGAGAGTTGGGCTCGCCGATGACCTCTCTTCTGCCCCTCCTCCCTGACGACTTGTGTCACTGTTTAGGTGCTCTAGGGGTTCCCTGGGTCAAATACAGCGTGCACTCTTGTTCCTCTTCTGTCCACTAGAGAAGGCGTCTCTTGTCCCCTCCCTTGGCAGCCGCCCTCCACTCTCGCCCCTCCTCCTCTAGCCGTGTCCAGCCGGCCCTCTGCTCCGCTGTGACCTCCCATCCTCAGGGTTGAGAACAGGTGCATCTATCCCTAACCGCAGTCAGGTCTTCTTTGGCACCTGGCGGCCGAGCTGGAGACCTTGAGGCCGGGTTCCCGCAGTCCGGAACTTGCTGTTTGTTGCTGAGGTGCTTGGGCTGCCGGGATTATGCGTCCATTCGGGCCCAGCTGTCCCTTCTGCAGTTTCTGTTTTGTCCTTTTGTCCTACCTTCAGTTATTTCCGCACCAAGCTCTTCAGTGGGCCCCTTACCCCTCATGTCCTTGAAAGCCCTTTCTTATCACTAATTTTTGACTCTTCGGGTTCAGATGTTACTTGTTAGGGTCCCGTCATCGTGGCGGAGGAGTTGGCCCCTCAATACCTCGTCTGTAGCCCCTTCCTCAGTCCTGACCACGCCGCCTTCCTCACCCGCCCCGCCCGGCCCGTCCTCAGTCAGCCTTGGTGGTAGAGGCGTTATGATCCCCTTCAAGAATCCGGATCCCTTGGGTGATGCTCTCTGCCTCAGTTTGGTTCTGGCCCCTGTCTCCCTGGTTGAATTAGGCTCTGGGCAGAGCTAGTGGTTCAGAGAATTGTGCTTTCGACGTGCTTGTCGCTCACAAAGTTGCTTTTATGTCCTTGTGCACCTTATCCACCACCAGTCACACCGTGCTATGGCCAGTGACCCCGCCCGCGGCTTAACGTGCACAGTAGAAAAGTGCCAGTCCCCTTGAATGCCTCCGGTTGGAGAAGGGCTCACAGTTCTGATTACGGCGGGTGGCCTGTTGACGAACATAAGTAGCAGGTGCTTGGGTTGTGGCCCTCCGAGCTCCCTGATGGTCTCTGAGCCTGCCTGGACCAGCTCTTCGGGTCCCGGTGGGTGTGGCAAGCAGCCTGCCGATGCCCCGAGCGCCCCGGCCCGGCAGCCCGCGCCCCGGCTACCCAGCCCACAAGGGGAAGTAGGACCCTGTGTCCCCGAAGCTGCTGGGATCGTTCCTGGCCTGCAGAAGGCTCGTTGTGTGTGCGTGCATGCGTTTCTCTTCGTGGGTGTGTCTTCTGTTTTCTGACTGCTGGGGCTTGCTCTCCCTTCTTGTGCTTCTTAGCTGTGCTTTGCAGGGCCATTGAACCCTGCAGTAGGAAACGAGAGCCAGAGTGTACAGTTTGGCTTCTGGAAGGGATCATCCTTGTTGTTTTTCAGAAAGGGCCCTAGGTTAACCCCGATTCTCCCCTGCACTGATTGGCCATACTAGCCAGTGCCCTGTGTCCTGTTAGCGTGAGGAGCAGGGTCCTGCAGAGACCTGGATTTTCTCACGTTGGATGATGACCAGCTGCACCACTCCCCAAGACCTTCCTGAAGAACCATCCTGTGTAGGTTTCACGAATAAGGAAGAATGAGTAAGAGGAGCTGGATTTAGGACCCCAGTTCTGTCTACCGGAACACTGCCCCCTCTTTTGGTCATTGATGCAGATGGTTAAAAAAAAGAAGTCTCTCCTGGGTGAACGCATTACTTTGGAGATTTTTATCTTTCTCTTCATTACTTATCTTCCAAAACCAGAATGCATGACTAAACACACGCATTCCTTTTTACCAGGCGGTGAGAACTGTCATCCCCCAGCTCTGTTCTGGTCCCTTCCTCACTCATTCTCGTTCTGTCTCTGAGCTTGATGGTTGGCTTCTTTCAATTAAATATTATCATCCCACCTCAAGAAATTTAAAAACAAAATTTCATCCCAGCCTCTGTGAACTTGTCAGAAGATCCAGGGTGTGATGGGGTCTTGGCAGTGTGCTGATGGGTCGATCGCCATCAGCCCCGCCCACCTGAGCTGAGCTGCACGAGAGCTTACAGACCCCTTGTTTGGCTCTTCCTTCAGCTTCCTCTTAGCTTCCACAGCCACTGTTTAGCTTCTTGTGGTCCACGCATCCTCGAAGCCATCCTAAGTCTTCTCTCTAGTCCTGTGTCCTTCGGGGCCCCCCACCCTGTGCTTGCTGGGTGTCTTGTTTCTAGCTCGACTTAACCATTCTGGCCCTCGATCCTTCTCCTCTGTGATCCTCTCCCTCAGGCGGTTTGGTTATAGTCTGTTTTTCAAGTTGTCTATAAATTGACTAAAGAATCTCCACCAGTAGAAGGAAGTCAATCAAATGCCACATTTCCGTGCCTCTTTCCAGCAGCCGAGCTTGGACACAGAGGTGTCCAAGAGGTGCTTGGGGTCGATCTGCCGTGTGATACGGGCACACGGATACAGGTGCCGCGTAAGGACTGCCTCCCTTGGCACTTCACTTCCTTCCTCACCAATCGTGGTCCTCCACCACGTGACGGCCTCCTGTTTTTCTGATCAGCTGTTGGATCCCCAAACGAGAAGTCGTTCTACCTTTGTGCTCTGGAGACACCCCCGCGTTGGGGAGCGGACGGTGGCGCGGGCCACGCTGCCCCGAGCGGGAGGGCAGAGCGGCGGCCCGCCGAGGAGGCGCGGGCCCTGTGGTGGGGTGGTTCCGCCTCGGGGGGGCCGGCGGGAATGCTCAGCCTCCCCTTCTCTTGCTCTTCTCCTGCAGACCACTCCCAGAGCAGTAAGTCTGGTTGCTGGAGCAGCGGTGACGAGAAGCGAGGACCCGCACGCTCCGAGCACAACGCCAGTTCCGGTTCGAAGAGTCTCCTCCCGAAAGAGTCTCGGCTGGACGCCTTCTGGGACTAGGGACAAGTCACGACACAAGCCGCCCACGCCGTGGAGGAAAAAAAAACCAGACACCAGGGCAGTAGGGAGCAGCAAAGAAACGTGAGACTGGAGAGCGCCAGGCACGCAGACTTGGCCTTTGCCCTTGGCACACAGGGCAGCCCACACTACATAGCGGCCCGCGCTGGCATCGACTGCGGCCTGCTGGACCCACACGAAACCTACGCTTTAGGTGTAAATGATGTACAATTTGTGGATGTCCTTGAACCTAGAGTACCTTCCCCTTTTTATATTTGTATTGACTTTAACTTATAAAAAAAAAAAAAAAAGAAAAAAACAGAAAAAAATAAACCCAGTAACGAAAAGAATGTTTGGACGCTGGAGGGGGGCTGGTTGGTCGGCCCCTTCTGTCACGGCGGCATGGAGCCCGGGCCCTGGGATCGCTGTGGCCCGCAGGCCTCATCCGTGCACGCCGCGGGGGGACGCGAGCCATCGGTTCTCGGGCGTCTTTACGCAGCACATCGGGACCAGGAGTTGTGGGCACATCCCGTGGAGCCATCGGCCCCTTTCAGATACTACGTTCCTATGTTATACAATGCAAGCTCTCTGGCCCGAAAGGCCACCTGGAGAAGCTAGTTTATTTTGTGTGGTTTCAGTGATGACTACTCCTAAAAGGGAAGAAAAAAGGCCCCTGTTTCCAGAAGACGGAAACAAGCTCCGCTCAGCTCCACCGCAGGAGAGGACAGAGGAAGCGTGAAGAGTCATAAGCTCTGAAACAAAGAGAAATCTTTTCTTTGCTTTGTGGTTCCTTTTAAACACACTCACACATGCTTGGTAAGTGATGCCGTGCTTCTTGGAAGCGAGCACTCAAAGGCAAGATGCACGCAGAGGACATTTGAGTCTGGGATGAAGCATGTATGTATTATTTATACGATGGAATTTTCATTTTAGCATGAAACAGAGGCAGTGTGAGAGGAAGCCAGACACCGGCCGCACTGTAGTACCATTTTGTATGTTGTGTAAAACAAAAAGCATTGAACAAAGCAAAAGGTGATGTATGTATATGAGAAAATTAATTGTACGATATCATTCCAGTACATTCTGTTGTACATTTTAGTCCTGTTTACTTTCTCTTCGTTGTTGATAAGAGGATGCGAACTGTGTACAGTTTCCAGCTAGTTACCCATATTAGAGAAGAACTACACAGAGAGAGTATTAGAAGAAAAAGAGAGAAAGAACATTTGTGAATTGCAGTTGTCAAAAAAAAAAAAATAGCCTAGCTGGCCTTATTTGTGAAGCATAATTGCTTTTAGCACATGGAAGTATTTTTTCACATTTTCTTTGTATAAAATTTGTATTAAACTTAAATATCTTTTTTGATGATGGTGTTTCTTTGTGACTGAGCCAGTGGACTCGCAAAGTATGCTCTTTTGGGTTCCGCCCCTCCCCTGCCCCCGGTTTTTTCAGATTCTTCACCTTTTTTTAATTAAACTGTTTTTGGAAAAATGGCTTGGTCGTCCTCAAATTTGCAGTTTTCCATTGGGTCGGGATGGCCGTGTCCGGTCTGCATGACCCAGCACAGGAGGTCAAGAACATCTTCACAGGTGGTGGGCACATGATAAATAGGGGCCCCCAGTGGGCGCCTTTTCTGGGAAGTCCGCTTCCTTGGAATTTATTGACAGGGACACACCAACCGGAAGGGAAATCCTGGTCAGTCTTTGCAAGACAGTGAGTGAGGGGAGAGGACAGTCTTCCCGTGGCTAGGGTGGGGGGCTGGGCAGCATGCGACCTCAGCGCGGCTCGGGTACGCCCTGGTCATCTAGCTTTCGTGGGTCACAAAGTATTTTAATTTTTTTTCAACCATTTAAAAATGTACATACTATGCTCAGCTCATGGGCCATATCAAAAGCAGGGTATGGGCTGGATTTGGCCCACAGGCCATTTGCTGACCACTGATGGGAAAGGAACAAGATGGGGATATTTTATTTTTTATTTTTATATTTATTTATTTTGGTGCCGAAACCCGGGAACGAACCAAAAATGGAGATTATTCAAGGGGTGAAGGTGGCTACCCTGGGATTATGCTGGGACTTGTCTCAGGAGGGGACATTTGACCTGAGACCTGAATGAAGAGCTGGCTGTGGGGACATGAAGTGTTGTGAGCATCCTAGACTGGGACCAGCAGGTACAAAGGCCCTGGGGTATTCACTCTGAGCTTGACATGGCTTGATGAGCTGCAGGGTGGCTGGTGTGGCTGAGAGGAGTGGAGGTGGAGAGGGCACCGGATGTCACAGGGTCAGTGGTCCCTGGCATTCACCTGGTGGGTGTGGGCCACCCTAATGTGAGCCGCCAGATGCTCTTGTAGAAACAGGCCCAAAGAAGTAACTAGCTCAAGGCCACGGAGCTGGTGAAAGATTCTAATTGGACTGCTATTGAATGCTTTTTCCAGTAAATGGAACTTTTTTTTTTTAAAGATTTTATTTATTTGGCAGAGGGACACAGCTAGAGAGGGGACACAAGCAGGGGGAGTGGGAGAGGGAGAAGCACGCTCCCGGCTGAGCAGGGAGCCTGATGCGGGGCTCGATCCCAGGACCCTGGTATCATGACCTGAGCTGAAGGCAGACGTTTAACAACTGAGCCACCCAGGCGCCCCATGGACATTGTCATTTTTCGAGATAAAAATTTTTTCAGCTTCCTCATTGGGCATGTATGTGCACCTTGCCTTCTCATGTGAAGACCACAGGGGGGCGGGGGACACAGCCCCACTTTAGGGGACGAGGCTGAGGCTGTGAGCAGGACCGCGGTATGGCCCCCTGTTCTTCCAGCTCCAGCAAGCCAGCCCCTGTCTGGCCCCAGGGCCCTTGCACTTGCTGCGCCCTTGGCCTGGCACACACTTCTGTGGCTGGCATTTTACTCGGATTATCTTTCAGGTTTCACCTCTGAAGCAGCCACTTCCCTCCCCCCATTGTCCTCTGTCCCAGCCTCTTACTAGTTTTCATATCCTTGAGCAAAGTTAATACATATTTATGACTTCTCTTGTGTGTCGCACGCACAGGTGAGCTGTGTCAGGGGATGGGCGGGCTTGGAAGGACACTTGGCTCCTGGGTGGGGCCGTGTTTGAGCAGGGGCAGCCTTTGAGCTTTCCTCACCATGAGGTACCCCTGCACCCACGGGTCTCAGCTGCAGCCCCCTAGGGAAGGAGGCACCGGAGGAGGACGTGGCTTTCACAGTGGTAGAGAAAGTGGTGCTTTTTAAAAAAATGTTGAATTTTACTATATATTTGACTAGCTCCATGCCTCCCATTTGGAAAGACATGGGTGTGCTCCCAGCCCCCCTGGCTCTCCCAGGTCCCTCTCCTACGCACCCTTCAGTTCTGTGCATTTACAGACCTCCACGGGGAGGCAGTTTTCTCTCCTGGAACATAACTGGCAGCATCTGACACACACCCTCCTGTCTTGTTTCCTTTTTTACTTATCCTGAGGCCTGGGTCATTTTTCCAGCGCCTCTTCGTTCCCCTGTGGGTCCGTGATCCACAGCCTCCAGTGGATGGGTCCTCAGTGTCCAACACTAGCCACGGGGTCCCGCGGGAGTCCTCCAAGGCTGCACCAGAGGGTCTGTGAGCAGCCAGACAAGAGGGGGAGCACTCAGAACTTCCAGACAGGGCTGTGGAGCCTTCCTCTCTTGCGCTAGTCCCGGTCGAGTATTTTCAGAGGCCCGATGAGTCTGAATTCGCAGTGGGGTCTGCCATGGTCCTTGCTACGTGTTAGGGATGGCCCGGCGGGGAGCAGGACCGGCTGCGGACACCCGTAATGCGATCGGGCACTCTCGCCACCTGGTGGCCCTCACCTAGAACTGCAGCCCCCAGAGTCGGAGCTGGACCACCGGGGACAGAGAGGTGGGCCAAAGCCGTTCGTTCAGGTGACCGCTGTTTACTGAGCCCTCTGGACTAAGCACTGAGGACACAGCACTGAACAAAACAGGTGCGGCCTCTGCCCTCATCCATCTGACATTCCCCATGGGAAGCAATCAAACCTGCATATAATATAATCCTAGGTGGGACAGATAATGTTGAAGGTAAATAAGCACGCTGTGGAGGGGAGGTAGATGGTGTGCTTGGGGACGGCCTCTCCAAGGAGCTGGCTACTGAGCAGAAACCTGAAGGAAGGGCTAACCGAGCCTTGATGACCAGGGCATTGGTTGTTCATGCTGGCGGAACATTAGAAGCACCTGGTAAGGTTTTTTAAATTTTTTTTGTTTTATAAATAACAAACCGGTAAATGCTGAGACCCTCCCTGCTTTCCCCCCGAATAATGACATCCGACTCTCTTGGCTGGGATTTGGGCATCTGTCATTTAAAGTTTCTCAGGTGATCCTATTGGGCAGCCAGAGCCAAGAGCTGTTAACCTTGGCTGGAAGAATGTCCCAGGTAGAAGAACAAATGTAAAAAGGCCTGAGGCGGGGACCTGGCATCTTCCAGGAAGAGAAGGACCGGTGAGGCCAGAACGGAGGGATTCCAGGTGGGGGTGGGGCTGATGGGCTCCCAGAGGGAGAGAGGGAAAGAGGGAGAGAGGGAGGGAGAGGGGGTGGTTTGCACTATGTTCCAAAACGGATGGGAAGCCGAGTGGGTGGTTTTTTTTAAAAACAGCTTTATTGAGATATAATTCACATACCATACAATCCACCCATTTGAAGTGTGTAATTCAATGATTTTTGGTATATTATTTTTAAAAAATTATAGTAAAATATATATAATGAAATTTGCCCTTTAAACCATTTTTAAGTATACAATTCAGTGGCATTAATCAGAGTTGTGTTTCGAACATAGAAATGTTTTCCAAACTTCAGCTTTCATATCCGGGCACATCAGGACACCCCCTACATTTTCTTTCATCCAGGGAAACAAAGGTCACCATATTCCTTCCAGCGTCCCTGCTGTGGCTCAGTCCGCATACTGAGCTCTGTGCTGAGGGTCTTCCTGTAATCTTTGGTCTTCATGATAACTGCACAGGGCAGGAGGAGGGAAGTGACTTGCCCAAGGTGACACAACAGGTTAGTGCCAGAGCCAGGATTCAAACTGGACCCCCGTGTCTGCGGCACCGCGGTCAGTTTACAAAACGCCTTCCGGGGCCCCTCTCTCCTTGACTCCCCTCCACTGTCCACAGGCTGGGTATTCTGCTCTGTGCAGCTGGGAAACTGAGACTCGAGGCCTCCATGAATTTAAAGGGGGTCAGGGTTTTAGTTGCAAACAACACTCTAGGTAATCTGGCAGGAAAGGAATTTATTAAAGGATATTACGGGACTCACAGACCTCTGGGAAGGAGGGCCAGAGAGACCAGCGGGGAGAGCGCACAGCCACAAACAATGTCCCAGTTACATTGCAGGACCTTCCCGTCACTGCCACTGGGCCCAGACATTGCAACTCTTACCAATGACACTGGGCCTGTCCCACCTGCCTCCTTGCGAGATTGGATCCCACCCATCAGAATGCACTTTGCAGAATTCCATTGCTTTCACGTGTGGGTGGATCTGGCTTGAGCAAACCCAGGTTGTGCTGGGTGTATCGGATTGAGTCTAAATACCACTTGAGTGCATTTGATTGGCTAAATCTCCAGCCGGGAAACAGCTGATTGGTTAAATCTAGGTCATATGCCTACGTCTTAACTGCAAGGAAGGCTGGGAAGGTGGGATTCAGGATGCTTCGGCTGAAGACTCCCAAGGTAGGAAATTGCCCAAACAAAAGGCCTCGGGTTGACAGAAACATTGACGGCGCCGCCCGCAAAAGTGCCCAGAGTTCCTGCCGGCCAGGTCGGTTGTCGAGAGCAGAATTCACCCGGCCAGGGGAAGCGGAAGGGTGTAGTAAGCGAACTGGTCTGCGGTGCGGCTTGCCGCCGGTCGGCCGGGCTGGAACTACATTTCCCAGAATCCTTTCCCTTGAATGGTGCTGAGTTAGAATTGCCCCAAAGAGGGACTCGTGTGAGATTTTGAAGGCGGAAGGGAAGCGGCAGCCTCTTCTCTTGCGAGGTTCCTGTGGCTAGATTGGTGACCGTCGTGCGCTCAGCCCTTGCGGCCTCGGTGTTGCACGCGGGTCTTGTTTCGGACCCCAGGACATGAGCGGCTGGCCCGGCCGCGGGCGCTTGGCTGCGGAGGCCCCGGTTCCCCGTTGATTTCTCTTCTGGCGCCTCTCCGCACACTCACTTTGGTGGCTGGACGTGCCTCACGGCTTCTCAGATTATTGCCTCGTTGGTGACTCCAGGTGCCCTTTCAGACTTCCACTTCCCCAACCCCTCTGACCCGCGTAGAAGGCCTAAGTCCCATAAGAGGCCGCTTCCCTGATTGGGTCTGATAACGTGATGGGTGTTTAGAGAATCAGGAGGAGGGCT